TAGCACTAGTTGTATCCCCACACGTTGTGCAAGTTAATGCTTATAAATGATTTATTATGAAAGAGTTACATTATTTTTATATTTTAATAATTTATTTTATTGATTATTTCTTCTATTTCAACTACACACTATAAACACTTTCATCATTTTATTAATTAATACAGTATTTTTTAATAAATTAAAAGATTCATAAGAAATGATAAAAATAATAAACAAAATTTTAAAAATATATAAATAACTGATAGGAATTAAGTTTGATTCCATGATAAAAGAAATAACATATATCATTTTCTCTTTTTCTTAAAAATATTTTTTTAGTGTTTGACTATTATAACAAAAACAATAATATGTATCCAACTTTTTTTATATATTTAAAATGATAAAAGCACTTTGTCTTAAGAAATTAAAATCATAAATTCACCTTCTTAACTAAACTAAAAACAATAAATCTAAACATTACTTTTGCAAATTGAAATAATATATTTTACTCAAACCATAAAATTATTATTTGGATTATTAATTATTGCGAAAAAAAAGAAACCAAAGAGTTTTTTTTATTAATTAATGAAATAAAATTATTATATGGTTATTAATTATTAACAAGTTTTATAATTTAATTTTTTTAAATTAGATAGTTAAATAAAAATATTAAAAATTTAATAAATAAGAAAATTTCACGTCATTAACTAAGTTTCACACTATCATGTCATATAAACAAATTTATGCTTTTATATATATTTATATAGACTAATTCTTTTTATGATGTACGATAATTTATGCTTTTATATATATTTATATAGACTAATTCTTTTTATGATGTACGATAATTTATGCTTTTATATATATTTATATAGACTAATTCTTTTTATGATGTACGATAGACTAATTCTTTTTATGATGTACGATAATTTATGCTTTTATATATATTTATATAGACTAATTCTTTTTATGATGTACGATGCACGTTGATTATATTCGTCATATGCTCATTTTTTTATATTTTTTTAGCTTTTTTTATTTATGTAATTAAAATATAAATTCTTATTTAGATTGCAATAAATATAGTAGTTTTTATATATACAGTAACATTTTTTTTAGTTATATGTCTTGCACTGTAATATCTTATTAAAAAAATTGATATAGTTTTTTCTCTTTTTAAAATATTAATTTGAATATCAAATATGTTATTTATGTTTTCTCTAACATACTGGTTTATATAGTTTTTATTATATGCTAGTTGCTTTTATTTTTTATTTAAGTACCAAATTGATTTATAAAAATTATTATATACCATTCATTTTACGTTTTATAATTAACTTACATGTTTTCTTAATAACTTTCACTATAATCTCTTTTAGTAAATAAATATACTTTAACCATGGAATAAGAAACTAATCTAATAAATCAAATTGAATAGAAACTAATCTAATAATCAAATTAAATATTTATAAATAATAAATAATGTTTTATTTTATTTTAAGCCCATCTAAATCTGAAATCAAATTTGAAAAAATTTATTAATAAAATTATATTCTTACTAGAAAAAATATGAATTTGAATTAAAATAAGAATATCAATATAATTATCAAAATTCCGATGATATTAAAAAAATAAATCAAAATCAAATTTGAGAGTGCAATTTGTAATTAAAGAAAATTTAAAGCCATACCTTTTTAAATCAAAATATTAATTATAGTAGATATATTATATTTATTTAAAATAAAATTCGAAAAATATAAATTTTTTTTTAAAATGTCCTCAACTTTACACATTTTCATTTAAAATAAATGAATGTTGAAGATAAATTACAATAATCAGTAAATAAAAATAAAAATAGATTAAATAAATATAATAAATTAATTAATTATTAATTTATTATTTATTATTTTATACAAAGGAGGGGGGCCACCCTAAGAAAGAAAAAGCTAAGCTTAATCTATTGCCAAATCGTGGCCAGTTAACACCCTGCATATCCCAAAGAAGAAACTGGGTAACGCAATCAAGAGGTGCTGCAGAAGCTGAATGCCTGCGGGACCAAAGACAGCCAACTTAGCCAGGCCATCAGCAACCTGGTTAGCTTCCCGAAAGCAGTGCTAGAGGTGCACAATCCAGTCTTTGCTCAACCAAGTACGACAGTCGGTTATCAGCCTACTCAATTTAAGATTATGCAAACTGACATTCTCAGCTAAATGCTTAGAAACCAAAGAATCCATCTCAGCAATGACTTGCCTGAAACCCAAATCCCAAGCCAACTTCAAACCTTGGAGAACAGCATGAAGCTCAGCCTCCATGGAAGTGCAGAAACCAAGCCTTAACGTGAACCCACCGCACCAACGATCCAAGCTGTCCCTAATTACACCACCACAACCCCCCCGGCCAGGAATGCCTTAGCAGCTCCGTCAGTACTGAGTTTGACCCACCCAGTAGGAGGCGGATACCAGGAGACGCTGAGAAGGATCCTACTAGAGGGCACAAATCTAACAGAACATAATAATTTATATAATAATATAATGAAATAAAACATAATTAAACATAATAAAAAAATAATATTAAATTTCAAATGCTTAATTATCTATATATAAATTTCAAGATGCTTTAATATTCTATATATATTTATCTATTAAAAAAACATCCAATAAATTAAATAAAGATATTAATAATTTTTAAAATTTTTAATATATATATTTATTTATTTGTTTATTGTTAAAATTTTTTTAATTGGAATTGGGTTCTTAATCTGAATCAGGGGAAACAATTACGACATGTAGTGTTTGCTCTTTTTTTTTTTTTTTTTTTTAATCATTATATTTTTTTTTTTTTTTTTTTTTAATCATTATAGTAATTAATTAAAGAGAAATTTATTTTGAGGTCCCTGAATTTTTACAAAATTTATTAGTTTGCCCTTACTGTTTCTACAAATTATTTCTTAGTCCCTGAGTCATTTTCATCTAACTTTTTCATCCAATTTTTTGGTCCTTCAGTCGAAAAAATAACATTTTTTTCTATTAATTTACATAAAAAACGCAAATACCCTTATTGTATCGTGCAAATAGGACCTCCAAATGACTTAATAGCGATAAGAAAAATCAACAACAATAAAAATTTAAAATGAAAAAATTTTCAAAGATACATATAAGGACATCCACAGAAACAAGTGTAAACTGGAGAAAAATTCACATAAAACATCATTAAACCCAAAAAAAGCAACCCCGAGCTGCCTAATCAAGCCACCACGAGCAAAGCAACCCCATCTGCCTACACCTTCACCTTCGCCTCCCCAATCTCACTCGCAACCTCAATTTTTATTTCACAATTAAAGACATTAACCGAAAAAAAAATTGAGATCCAAAATACAAAATAACCACAAATCAGAAGAGAAATCAACGGATTAAGCTATAATCTCTTATATTTGAAGCACATAAAATAAAGATTAATAAAAAATGTAAAATTAATGTGACCAGCAAGACTGAGAGAAGAAAGGAAGACTGAGAAACCAAGGAAGAGCTGTTGATGAACATTGATGACTGGGCTGAGAGAGGAAATAAGGGTAATGACATCGACAGTGGCTATCAAGGCTTTAGCCAACATGAAAAGAAGAAGGAAGAATTTTTAATTTTGCTTTTGCTGTAACTTTTGTAGATTTTACACATTCAAATACGTTACGGTGTCTAGAATTTTTTAAGATAGGAGAAGATAGTGGGATGACGAAGAAAAGTTGGCTCACGTGAGGTGAAGAGAAAAAATAGAAAAAAAAAAATATTTATGGGTCCCATTTGCATGATATATAAGGGTATTTGCTTCTTTTTTTATATGTAAAGTTAATAGAAAAGTACCACTTTTCCTATACAAGGATTAAAGAGTTAGAGGGAAGTGTACGTCAAGACTGCGAAATAATTTGCATAAACAATAAGATGAGTTAATAAATTTTGTAAAAATACAGGGACCTCAAAATAAATTTCTCTTAATTAAAAGTTGAAAAAGAAATTTATCACTGTTTTTGTTTAACAATTGTGCTCATTTGATTGGTGGGCCATTATGGTGCGTTCATCGTATAAGTTGGTTCATCACCGAAAACATACAGAGAAGAAGGCATAGCGATCTCAACCTTGCCTGATCGGAAACCACAGCTGCCGGCTACCTCTACTTCACCCTTGCCGAAAATCAAAATTTGATTTTTTAATTCTTTTTGCGCGACTATCTGTTCCCTTCTTTTTTTTTTTTCCTCTTTTAATTCTTTTAGATTCTCGCTCTGGTTAGCGATAAAGCCTTTCACTCCTTTTTTCTTAAACCCTTTCAAAACCTCAACTCTGCCTTCTCAATAGCGTTGCGTATCCTTTGCTTCTATTCGAAAACAATTCATTTTCCTTTTTCTAATTTTCTTCTTCGTTACAAGAAGTCAGTATGTCTATGTACGTGTTTGGTGCAGAATTTTTAATTTTCCAATTAAGGCCTTTACTTTCTGTTGAGGTATAATATATTTGTATTTGAAACAACTCGGAAAAATTAATTTCATAAAATTTTTATATAAAAAAATTAAAATTTTATTCTAATTAATGAAAATCAGGGAAAAATATTTTATTAATGTCTAACTGAACCTATAAATTAATTTGAGTTTTTCGAAAATCAGGGAAAAATTTCTAAACTAAATAAAAATCAAGTTAAATTATTGATTTGGACTAAATCGGTTCGAATCGAATCGAAATAGTCTAAGAAACCCAGATTTTTCTTTTTCTCTCTTCTTCTTCTTCTTCGTTTCCTCTCCAGCGTCGACCTCACCCTTGCCCTCTCCTCTCGTTCTTTTCGATCACCGGAGACCAGCTCCACGCTTTGCAGTTGCCTCCACGCCGCAGCGGATTCCGGCCTCCCTTCTCATCTCTCTTTCGTCTCTGGCGTACGCAGAAGGTGCAGGAGAGCCGCGACATCCTTCCGTCCTCCCTTCTCATCTTCTTTTCGTCTCTGGGCGTACGCAGAAGGTGCCAGGAGAAGAGGAGAGCCGCGACATCCTTCGATCGGAAAATCGCGTCGAGCCTCCTCCTGCTTGATTTTCCGGCGGCGTCGATTCCTCTCTTGTCGATGAAGAAGCTTCGGTCTCTCCTTCACTCTCCCCTTCCCGTTCCGGCTGGCACAGCAAACCCAGGAGCTGCTCGCAATAGGTACAGTCGCTCTATCTGCTTTCCTTTTCGAATTTTCGACGAGTCGGGTAAATTATTTTAAACCCTTTTCAATACATTTCATGAATTTTGATCCTGACTAGGAGAGTTGATATACAAATGGAAATTCTTAGCTACTGTTATGAAGATTAACTAAGAAATTTTGATTAAAAAAAAATATAAATGGAAGCTATAAATTGAATTCATATATAGAAATAGCTAGATTATTAAATCTATTATGAATTTTTGTAAGGAAATGATGATTCGTTAGTATGAGGAAATGATGATTCCTTAGTATGATAGTAGGTATTTTTGGTCGTTGGTTGAGTTCTTGGTATGTTATGAAGGAAACCTTAATTGTACCATTTCAAGTGAACTATAAACTAAAATGGCGAAAGAATTGAGAAACCTGAAATGGCAGCATGCCATTTTAACTAATTAGCTTGAACAATTATTGCTGTATAATGCAAACGAAGTTATAAACTAAGTTCTTGGTGGGAAATGGGTTAAGTAGCATATGATGTATGAGTTTAATCAATAACTCAAGGTTTCTTTGATATAATGGCAGCTTCTAGTTAGATAGTTAAGAAGAAAATCATGGATAAATCATGGATTTTTGCTTGAACCAAGTTTATATTGTTGGAATAAATGTGCTCTTCATAACTTGTTGTGGATGTAGAGGTTCTAATGACTAAGTTTGATGAGAATTGAGAAACTTTTGGTAGTGGCAGCAGCTATTTTCAATGATTTATATAGATTATTGCTTGATATGGAATATTTGAAGTAGTAGATTTAATTCTTGCTTGGAATTAGTTAGTTGGTATATTTTAAGTTGTAAATTGGATTTCTTAGTAGATGTATTCATTAATTTTAGTTTAATTGAAGCATTTGTTCTTAGTGGCTAATTTAAAATTTAATAAAGGTATAAATATGTGATTGTTACCTTTAAGCAAGGATGAAGAAATGAACGTTTGATAAAGAGTTCTATAATATTTAAAGGCTAAGTAACTATCAAACGAGGATGGTTGAATTTAACTTATTGATACAAGTTTTGTTTATAAATTGTACATTTATTTGATAATTAGTTAGAGAACAATTAAGAGAACAATTAACAATATCATTGGAACATGCTTGGAGATTATTATAATTTGTAAATTAATTGGTGAATGTTGACATGGTCGTACTAAAAGGAGGATGGGACTTAAATTGTTTGATTGCCTGATGGATGGGCTGTGAGGACTTGATTAATAAATGTTAGATATTTGATATTGTCTAAACAGGTAGAAAGTCCTAATTTTGGGGGAGGTGCTGCCGAAATTTTGATAGAACCTAAGCTAGACTTAATTAATAACATAATTAATAGGTTTATTTAGATTAATTCTTTAACTTGATTCATAATAAATAAAATTATCTGATTATTTTATTATTATCATTAGTATTCAGTTATTTATTTAATTAACTATTTATTTTCATCATTATTGTTTATTATTATTATTTATTTTATCATTGTTATTTATTGTTATTATTTATTTAGTTGCATTTGAATATGGATGTCTAAGTGTGCTGTGGCATCATGATATTTAATTGGTTGCTATGCTTGCATTTAATTGCAATGCTTGCGTTTAATTGCAATGCTTGATTAATTGTGATGTGATAATGTTATGTTTTGTTTGGATGGAGTTGGGATGAAGTGGGTCACCATGGGTTTGTGAGGACGGTCTATGAGATATGGATCTTGAATATGATGAAATTATGGAATCTGACTGTCGGTTGGGTATGGGAGATCGGCGGCCCCGTGTGCACCTAATGATATGATATGGATGATATAGAAAACCACAGGGTGGCCTCCTGTTGGTATGGAAAAGAAAAGGTATGGAAAAGAAAAGAGAGAATGGAAAAACATGAGAGGGCTCGTCAAGAGGATTAGACCGGTCAGCCATGTATGGGGGGATTGGCTTCCTGGTGCACACGTCAGGAGAGGATGGGCCATGTTGGAGGACGGCTCATCGGGCGTTTCGGTGACGCCACTGACCAATTTCCACGTGATGTGATTATGTGAAGTTGTTAATAAGTGTGAGTGCTGTTGCTATGCCATTTGTATGACTATATGCGTGAGCATATACTAGTCGGACGACTAGATTGATATATTTACACATTTGTGTGAATGCGTGTGTTGTGCAATAATTATTACTCCTTAGAAAACTTACCGGACGACTAGATTGATATATTTACACATTTGTGTGAATGCGTGTGTTGTGCAATAATTATTACTCCTTAGAAAACTTACATGTCTTGTTTGATTTTTCAGGAAGTAAGTTTCTCTTTAATTCGGTTTAAGCTCTATTTCTTAGCCGTAGGGCTAGAAAGAAATTTTTCTAGTTCAATAATTATTTTGCTATGTAACTATATGTATAAGAATCTATTTATATCTAACAGTTATTGACTCCGCAGTTGTAGAATTTACATACATTTAGTCTTGTATTATTATAGATGAAATAATTCTGTGAGCCCATATTAAAAATGTGATGTATTATAAATTGGGCTCGAATTGTGAATGTTGAAGATGTTAAATTGTGCTGAGGTATAATATAATTATGAGGTTTATTTTGCATAGTAATATTGGCTGAATGTTTGACATTTATATTGAGACAGTAGCTTTTAGTGTTTCAGGCTTACTACGGGCCTCGGGGGCCTTAACCTTACTTAGGCCCTAGTGCCAATTTGGCCCATGGAAACGGGTCGTGACAGTATTGCTGCTATTTTTAGTGTTCAAAGCATTGTGATTGATTTGAAAATTGACCCTTTTATGATGTGATATCCGTTTTCTTGATTTTGTATAGTTTTGTTGAGTTTAAGCATCTACTGATCTTTCTTGCAGTGAATGAAGGCTACTTTTTAGCACTCCATAAAAGGAGGGGAATAGGAGGGAGTAGAATGTTTGAAGGACTGATTCATCGGGTGCTGGTGGGTTTTCTTGGTCGTTATGTCAAAAATTTCCAGAAGGACCAACTCAAGTTCAGCCTTTGGAAGGGTAAGCTGTGTTTTGCATTTCTCCCATCTTTATAAAAATGATAACTTGGCATGGTAACCTGCTTGTCACTCTCACGTGAATTTATATGTAACCATATATGTTTTTATCTTTTGAATAATTTCTTTTGTAGTTTTCTAAAATCTACTTCTTTTGTAATCGTCAGAAGAAGTATTGTTGGAGAATGTAGACCTCATTCCTGAAGCCTTTGATTATCTCCAATTGCCATTCGCTTTAAAGCTGGGTATATATATGCGCTATAATTTTGTTTTTATGGTTTCATCTCATTGGAAATCTTCCTTGACATCTTCCTAAGAATCTCTTAATCTTTTTCTCTTAATAGGTAGGGTTGGGAGGTTAAGCATCAGAATTTCATGGAAAAATCTTGGTTGGGACCACCCCATTATAATCGTTTTAGAAGATGTATTCATTTGTGCTTCCCAAAGGGATGACCATGAGGTACTTACAGAGTTGAAGTTGAAAACAATATCTCTATTTTGTTTTTGAAGTCTCACTTATACAGAAATGAGAGAAATTAAAATTAGCAGCATCCTCTTACATGCTATTGTACATCAATTGTTTCATGTATTTGTTTTGGTAGTGGAGTATGGAGGCTGTTGAAAAAAGAGAATTTGCTGGCAAAAAGGCTAAGCTTGCTGCTGCAGAGCTTGCCAAACTATCAAGGCGTGTGAGCGGTAAGCTATTTGATACATTTATGTTTTTCTTTTTCGGAAATTCATGTAGTTGTATGCAAAGAGGATATCTCACATATGCTGCTGATTTTTTTGAGAGCAATAAATCACTTAAATCATTTAAAAGCAGAGAGAAGAGTGCAGATGTTTCTGGTTAATATCTCATGGGATAGAATAATGATTGCCCACATTTTTTAGAACATGCTACATATTTGCTTCTTCCAATAATTATATCTTTTTTTTTTTTTTGATTCAAGATATGATGATGAACTATTTCTTTCAGCCCTTTTTTTGAATTCAACAAATGTGTATAGGTCACATATTTTGCTGTAGTCTATAATTTTTGCATCAATATTTGGCTGAGGTTTTCTTTTATGTTTGTTATCTGTGCTAACATTATTGATTTTTTTTTTTTTTTTTTTTTTTTTTTTTTTTTTTTTTTTTTTTTTTTTTTTTTTTTTTTTTTTTTTTTTTTTTTTTTTTTTGCTGTTTATACATTATAGGTAATCAAACTGGGAAATTGTTTATTTCATATATTACTGCAAAGGTGACATTTTGTTCTTGCGATTCATTGTATATGTTTGTGTGTGTGTATATATATCTATATACTTTTTAATCTTGTTGAGTAGTGGATTTGATTAGGTGCACTTTTGTTATCACTGTTATCTCCATTTAGCTCCTTGTTATGTTTCTAGGTTCTTGACAGCATACAATTATCAATTAGAAATTTCCACGTTCAATACAGTGGAATGCAATATGACTCGGTGAGCTTGCCATCAATTTTATATGTATCTTTCACCCCTTCTACTATTTTTTTTTTTTGAGTATTATATTGCTCTTTTGTAAATCATTGTTGATTTTATAACTGAACTTTGCTACATATGCAACTGCTTCCCATTATGCTGCAAAAAGCAGTTTATATCCACTATCCGTTTCATGCATATGTTATTTTAATTAATTTGTATTAATGGTTTACACATGGAGTTAGTAAATCTTTTTTCGGGACAATTCAATGGATAAAAGGTGTTTATTATGATGCTAAGATACTGTAGCAATTGTTTGGAGAATGAAACCAATACACAAGGTCTAGCATAATTAAAAGAGAAGCAAAATTAATTTTCACTAAAAGAGAAGCAAATCAGGTAAGATTTGCATATAATCCATTTTTTTGTTACCCCCCCCCTTTTTTTGTTACCCCCTCCCCCCCCTGCCCCTTTTTGCCCCTCTGCCTCCTCCTCCTCTTCTTTTGCTATCATTACAGCTAGATCTTATTTCCTGCCTAGAATTGCTAATATCAACTCCTCAAATCCTTACTTTTTCCCTTCAAATGCAACTATTAACTCATTTATGTTTTTATAACCTATTACCCTTTTCTCTATGTGAATTTTGGAGATAAATACCAAGACTGCATGATTTGCTATGATATGCATTCCTTTCCAAATTTCTACGAACTATGTTGGAAAGGATCAATATCAGTTGTTTATATGATAGTACGGAGACGTGACATCTTCACTAGTTATGGATATAGGTACCAAATCAACTGTTTTGTTTTTCTCTTGTTTTTCCTCTTGATTGTGTAACTTACAATGCTATTTTGTGTCGTAGTGAGACTTGATTTTATTCATATATGTAGTTTTTAGAAAAGAGAGTTTTATTTCTCTATATTGTATTGTTATTGTCCAATCTCTACTCTACTATATATATCTAAACTATATATATATATAATTATATATATATATATATATATACAAAGATTGGTCCAATATAGGAAGTAATATGAATAGGAAAAAACCTAAACTAGGAAAGACAATATTTCCTCTAATTAGGAATAAACCTATACTAGGAAAGACGATATTTACACTAATTACAAAGATTTCAACACTCCCCCTCTAGTTGGTGTATAGATATTACACATGCCCAACTTGCAAACTAAAGGATGAAATAACTTGCTATTCAAAATTCAAACCCTTTGTGAAAACATCAGCTAGTTGCTCTTTTGAAGCTATATAGGAGACACTTATAAAACCTTCAACTATCTTCTCTTTTATAAATTTACGATCAATCTCTATGTGCTTAGTTCGATAATGCTGGACTGGATTATTCATAATACTGATGGCTGCTTTACTATCACAAAACAAGAATATATATGTTGTTTCAACCAACTTAAATTCTTCCATTAATCAGCGCAACCATAGGGGTTCACAGATTCCCTGTGCCATAGCTCTATATTCAGCTTCTGCATTGGACCTTGCAACAACAACTTGCTTCTTGCTTCTCCATGTGACCAGATTTCCTCCAACAAAAACACAATAACTTGAGGTTGATCTCTTGTCATCAAGGGAACCAGCCCAATCCGCATTTGTATAGCCTGTTATTGTCAAATGGCCATGTTTAGAAAATAAAAGTCCTCTAACATGGCATGTTTAGGACAAATAAAAGCTCCTCTACTTGGAGCCTGATTTTAATATCTTTAGAATCCGGATGCACTATAGCCTGTTATTGTCAAATGGCCATGTTTAGAAAATAAAAGTCCTCTACTTGGAGCTGATTTTAAATATCTTAGAATCCGATGCACAGCTTCTAGGTGAGACTCCCGAGGGTCATGCATGTACTGACTCGCTAAACTTACAACATAGGCAATATTTGGTCTAGTATGGGCAAGATAAATCAACCTCTCAACCAATCTATAATACCTGCCAACATCAATTGGACCTCCCACTCTAGCTTGAAGCTTATGATTGGCTTCAATAGGTGAGTCTGCAGGTTTACATCTCAACATACCAATTTCTTTAAGGAGATCAAGGATGTACTTTCTTTGAGAAATAAAAATCCCTTTTTCTGATCTAGCAACTTCTATCCTAAGGTAATATTTCAACTTTTCCAAATCTTTAATCTCAAACTCCCTAGCTAACAAAGTTCTCAAGTGAGTCATTTCTTCTTCATTATTTCTAGTCATCACTATATCATCAACATAAACAATAAATAATGTGATTTTACCTTCATGATGTTTAATGAACAAAGTGTGATATGCATCGCTCTGAATGTACCCGAAAGAAAGCATAGCTTTACTAAACTTTCAAACCATGCTCTTGGTGATTGCTTCAGCCCATATAATGACTTCTTCGGCTTGCAAACTTTTCCTCTGGTCTTGTCATCATTAAATCCAAGAGGAATCTCCATATATACCAATTCTTTCAGGTCACCATGTAGAAAAGTGTTTTTAACATCAAATTAATGTAACTCCCAGTCAAGATTGGCTGAACAAGACAACAAATTTCTGATTGTGTTCATCTTGGCTACAGGGGCAAATGTTTCCTGGTAATCAACTCCATAGGTCTGACTGAACCTTCTGGCTACCAATCTAGCCTTGTACCTCTCAATTGAACCATCTGCCCTATGTTTAACTGTCAACACTCATTAACATCCAACTGGCTTCTTTCTTGGTGGAGGAATTACAAGATCCCATGTCTCATTTTTTGCCAAAGCTGTCATCTCCAAAACCATTGCAGCTTTCCATTTTGAGTCCTGTAATGCCTCTTGCCACTCTTGCGGTATAGAAACAGAAGAAACAAACAAAACGAAGGCTCTATAGGAAGGGGACTGAGCATTATAGGAGATAAAATGGGAGATGGGATGTTTGGTGCATGTTCTAACTCTTTTTCTAAGAGCAATAGGAATATCAAGGTCATTATTTGGAGGGCTAGAATCAAGATTAGGATCAGAATCAAGAGGGATTAAAGAAGACTCACCAGGTTCTTGTTCTTCTGTATTTTCAGGGCTGAAATGGAGAGTACGGTTGATTAGAGGTCTCATGCTCCATGGTTGTATCTGTATTAGCCCGATTAGAGGTTCTCATTGCCTCCTGATGGTTGTTCTGTATTATGGCCCGCCGTGTGTAGGTTTTTAAAAAATCAGGTTCTATTCCAATTCTACTGAAGGTTTGGGTGGTTTGGTCTCTCTTATTATCTATGGTCTACAAGAATTCCCCTGGAAAGGAATGTCATCCATCACCTCTATCCATCTTGGTATTCTCCCCTGAGAAGAGGTGAACTAGGAAGGAAAATAAGGACTCAAATTCCCGAAAGGTTAACATCCATACTCACAAAGTATTTCTCCGAGAAGGCTGCGATGATAACACTTGGTATCCTTTTTGTAGTAGGTACGAATAACCAACAAAACACCCAACTTCCACGGAACATACTAGATTCTAATCTGCTTAGGGACTAGGTCTGATCAGCATGAACAAAAACCAAAGCGCAGCCAAAGACCTGCTTAGCGAGCAAGGCTCTAGGATCTAATTTGCTTAGACTAGTCTGATGAACAAAACAAAGGCAGCCAAAGACCTTAGGAGGTACAATATAAGAGTTTTTTCCTTGAAGAACCTCTAATGGAGTTCTAAAATTTAAAGTAAGAAGAGACATACGATTGATAAGGTAACCAGCAGTCAAAATAGCATCCCCTAATATGGTTTGGGAAGATTCATAGTGAACATAAGAGACCTAGCTACTTCCAGTAAATGCCTAGTTTTCCTTTCGACTATGTCATTTTGAGCACTAGTATTGATACAACTAGTTTGATGGATAATATCATTAGAATCTAAATAGGTATGAAAATCTGCATTCATGTATTCAGTACCATTATCAGTTCTTAGGAATTTTAACATGCGCATCAAACTGAGTACAAATCATTTTATGGAAGTTCTGAAAACACGAAAAAGCTTCATTTTTTGTTTTCATGAAATAAACCCAAGTCAATCTAGTGCAACAATCAATAAAGGTCACAAACCATCTCTAATCAGAAAGAGAGACAGTTTTAGTAGGACCTCATACATCAGAATGAATAGTAGCAAAAGGAATCAAACTTTCATTATTAATTGGAGAATAAGAATGCCTGGTGTGTTTGGCAAGTTCACAAGCATCACATACTACTGAATCAAAATCACACTTAGCAAACAAAGTGGGAAATAAATGTCCTCAAACAAAAAAAGAGGGATGTTCTAATCTCCTATGCCATTGAATAACTTCATGTGAAGGATTTCTAGAAGTTCCTAACAACACTTGACTAGTACCCGAATTTGAAAAACGACAAACGTCATCTAACAGATACAGTCCATCGCGCAAGCTACCACTGCCAATTGTTTTCCCCGTGTTCATTTCCTGAAACATACAATGAGTAGGGTAAAAAGTTATTTTGTAATTAAGCGCTTTTGTGATTGAGCTAATAGATAACAGATTAATATGGAATCTAGGAACATGAAGAACAGAGGAAAGTTTAATATTGGAAGTACAGTCAATAGGACCTATGCCAGCAATCGGTACTAAGGAGCCATCCACAATGCGAATTTTGTCTGTGCCTTGATAAAGGAGCCATACCACAATGGAGAGTTTTGTCTGTGCCTTGTATACTTGAACTATGTGAGAAAGTTTTAATAGAGCATGTTGATGTTATTTGCCTCCTGAATCTATAACGCCAGAAGGGTTTTGCCAATATTCGCCAAGAAAGGTAAGGAAAAACATTAACCTAATAACAACATATTAGAGGCTGCAGTCTGGAGTTTGAGAAGAGAATCAAGCTGTCTCACTGCCTTGATACTTAGAATATGTGAGGAAATGTTTTATAGAGCATGTTGTATGTTTATTTGCTCCTGAATCTATAACCCAAGAGGGTTTTGCAATTTTCGCAAGAAAGGTAAGAAAAACATTACCTAAATTAACAAAATTAGAGGCTGCAGTCTGAGTTGAGGAAGAATCAAGCTGTGACAACAATCGTTGCAGGGACTGAATTTCCTTATCAGAAAAACTACCAGCAGTAGATGGTTCCTCAAAGAAAGCTCCACTATCAGATATATGTTTTTGTGGTTTAGAAGAACTGACCCGCTTCCCTCCACGCCCTTTAGTTGGGCGTCCATGTAATTTCCAGCAGAACTCCTTAGTGTGCTTGTTCTTACCGCAATAGTTGCAAAATAATTGATCTCTTTTTAAAGAATCGCTCTTTGCAGCCTGTATCTGTTCTCTTGCAGAATTAGCACTGAACCCTGCTTTATCAATTGTAGATCTATGAACCATAGCACTCCTCCTAGTCCCCTCTTCCTGTACAAATGAGTATGCTTGTTGCAAGGATGGAAAAGGATCTCGTCCAAGAACTTCGACTCGAATCTGATCATACTTGTTATTTAGGCTAGCCATACAAGTTCTACTTCAATCAACTTCTGAACTTGAGTTGCATCATCAGTACATTTTGCTTGAAAGTCTTGGTAATAATCCAGTTCCTGCCAAACCCACTAAGTTCAGCAAAATACTAAGCGATAGTCAGATCTCCCTACTTGGTTTCATGAATTTTCTGTCGCAATTCATACATCTGAGCATATTTTCTAGTTTGTGAGTAAGTCTGTGAAGCGGCATCCCATATCTTCTTAGTTGTATCAAGAAGTGAATATCCTCGTGAAATAGTTGGATGCATAGAATTGATTAGCCGAGACATAATAAGGGAGCTCTTTGATTTCCAGTTGTTATAATTTGGATCTGTCAGAACTGGTGTTGTTGCTCCATCGTCAAGATACCCCTGCAAACCCCTAGCCTCAATAAATAGCAAACTGGACTGAGACCAAGCCAAGTAATTTGTGCCATCTAACTTCACTGGATTAATCTGGAGTGAAGGATTCTCCGAGCGAAAAATTACGTCTACCTTTTTTCCGTCAACCATACTGTCGGTCCCGCCGGAACAAGAATCGTCGGCAAAGGTCACTGGAAAACGCCACATACGCCGGCGCGTGAAGAAAGGCCAAAAAAACTTCTTGCAGTTACACACGCGGGTGATTGGACGTCGATGGAATTTGACTGGAAGGCTGGTCGGCGGTTGCTCCTCCTTCTGAAGTGGGCGGTGATAACCAACTTGCTCTCTTAGCGGTGCTACTTGAAACACAGACCTGTTTGCGGACAAAAACCTATGCCGACAAATCGTGGCAAGGCTTTGATACCATCTAGTTTTTGAAAAAGAGAGTTTTATTTCTCTATATTGTATTGTTATTGTCCAATCTCTACTCTACTGTATGTATACATAAAGATTGTTCCAATATAGGAAGTAATCTAAACAGGAAAGAACCTAAACTAGGAAAGACAATATTTACTCGAATTAGAAATAAAATTAAACTAGGAAAGACAATATTTACTCTAATTACAAAGATTTCAACAATATAATTTGCCGTTGCAAATTTACTAAAACTGAATTTAATATTGTTAATCATCTGAGTAACTGTTGACTATAAGATGACCAATAAACAAACTACACATGGATACTGGCAATCTCTGCCTGCTAATGTATACATGAAAAGTTCTGGAGTTTTACGTTTGAACGTGAGATGTTTATATTTTCAATTTTTAATTATCTGTTTGCTTTGTTTGTGAATCACATATGATTTCATATTTAATTTATTGAACTTCTGGATAGACTAAAAAGTACATAAGAATATATTAGATTTACTAAATATATTAATTTTTTTTACATGTTTTTCCAGTCACAGGTACTATTTGGTTTGAAGTTTTCCAGCTTGACAATAAAGCAAAATCTGGTTGGGTAATTTTTGATGTCACTCTCTTATGTGTCTGTTATTCATGATTTTAAAATTTTATACTTTTTTATTTTGTTAACAACTATTAGTCGAGGAATTAGGCTCTCCTATACATATCTGACACTAAGTTTTTGCTTAAGAATTTAATTGCAACAGAAAGGCAATGTATGTTTATAAAACTGGACCAATGGCAGCCATGTAAATTAAACACACTTCATTGTGTACTTTTCTTGGATAGTTTTTGATTATGTTGTCTCTTCTTTTTTATTGAGGTCACACAATTTTTTACCTTGTATTTTATTCATTTATTTATCAAACTAGAGAACTAGATTAGTTTAGTGGTGTTATTGCTTATGTAGCTGTTCATTTGCGTACTAATCATGTTGTGGTGGAGGGTAAAAAATGTTCTAGATCTTGGGTGTTCAGAGGGATTGTTGTTTGTAATAATGATTTCTTCAGCTATAATTCATGGTTGAAGAGGTTTTGGAGTTTGTTGAAAGTTGTCGGGTTCTTTTTTTAATTTTGGAGTAGGGGTTTATTAAGATTTTGCAGTGTGACAGCATACTTGCTTAAGGTTTCCCTGTTTCTTTCTTTATTCTTATGACATTGCATGTAAATCTGATTCAATATGAATCCAACCTCATCAAGTAAACAATTCAACCTTTTTTCTTTTTCTCAAACTGAATTCTTCCAAGACAAGCATTTAACCTCTTTATGTAATATTTCAGTTTTTGTTAAGTCTTAATTCTTCCAAACCAAGAATCTTACCACACTTCTGATTTCTATTTGAGTTTGATAATTTTCTATCATGTTAGATCATTAGGTGGGAAGGTGGTAGGGGGCCAAGTGAACAAAACAGTGGATGTTGAAGGTCTGGAAATTTATTGTACCACATCCAAAAATGCTATGGACTTGACGAGTTTGGATGACGCTGCAGATTCCAGATTTTGGCAGAATGAAAGATCTGAAGGCAATAAAATTGATCATTTATTACAGCCGGTTGATGTAACTGTATCACTTGTGGTACGCGAACTTTGTTACAAATAATTCGTCCGTTTTAATTGTAGTTGTCTTTGGGAATTTATATCGTCTGACATGTAATGAGTTGTATTCTTTTTATGTTGGTAATCAGTTTGTATTTTCTTATTTTTAGAGTATATTTAAGCTTTTGTCAAAACAAATTGTTCTTAACCAAGAGAGTTTATAAATTTTATAACTGCATTCTGCTTGCAGCTTTGACAGCTTTAAGCATGAACATTGCCTGTGTTTCTGATGACACCTTGCTTTCTATATGCTTCATTTAGTTTTTATTATTTTTCTAATTGAGCTTTTGTCATGGACTTGAGTGATAATTTACATATGATAAAAAAATGGCTGATACCAATTTTATTGTAGCCTGTCACTTGAAAGGAAGTCTTAGAAATTATCGTACACTTCACCCTTTGTGTGCTGTAGCTGTGTGTGAGACCAGAATATGTTACTCAAGCTTAATAGGATTCATTTTGGATAGGAAATTGTTTGTTGAAACTGGAAAAGAAAAACATAAAAAGTGACTGGAGAGTCTTCAAATGTTGATTGTGTTTGAGCAGTGAAGTTAATATATTAGTCGAGCCGTTCAGTCAGTTTTACCTGTTTTATGGCCCTGAAGTGAATTTTTATTTTATTTTTGGTTATGAACTTCAAAACTGTTTTATGTAGTAAGCACAAGATAACTAGTTAATGACATTTTGTCTTTGAGGGGCAAAGAAAACAATTTATCCTAGAAAAAGAGTGGGAATGGGGGAGAAAACAATTTTGCTTTCTTCTTCTTCTTCTTCTTTTTTTTTTTTTTTTTTTTTTTATAATTAGTCGAGCCGATATCATCAGTTATTACCTAGGTTTTTTATGGCCTGAAGTGAAAATTTTTTATTTTATATTATTAGGTATGAAAAACTTCAAAACTGGTTTTATTGATAGTAAGCACAGCATAACTAGTTAATGAACATTTTGATCTTTGAGGGGGGCCCAAAAAAAAAAGGAAGAAAAACCCCCCCCCCAATTTTTAATCCCTAAGAAAAAAATAGGAGAAAAACAGAGTGGGAAATGGGCAGAAAACAATTTTGCTTTCTTCTTCTCTTTTCTTTTTTTTTTTTTTTTTTTTTTTTGCCCATTTAGAGGCAAACACATATAAGAATGTCCATATAAGTCATTTTTTCTTCTCAACTTTACATAGAAACAAATTGAGTCCTTAAAATTTTCATAGGAACTTGAGAATTCCTAATTGCACTTTATTAATGTTTGTTTGCATGTAGGTTAACAAAGCAGGAAAGCTAGATACTGATTTGGCACAATATTCAATCAGAGCAGAGACAACTAGCTTGGTTGGTTCAAATATTTTGAAGTCATTGCATTTTGAATAGAATTTCCATATCTTTACATATTGTGCTCAAAAGACTGTATTTCTCACTTTTCTTTTCTTTTTTTTTTTTTTTTTTTTTGCGGGTGTGGGGGGGGGGGTGTTATCTTTGAATTTTTTAAGGTTCCCATGTCTTCAATAGGTTCAGGTTGCAAAAATATTGATTCTATCTGATTACGGGGGGGGGGGGGGTGTTATTCTTTAATTTTTTAAGGTCATGTCATTCAATGAGGTTCAGTTGCAACAAATATTGATTCTATCTGATTACATCAGCCTTAGCAGTTTAAGGGAGAAGTAAGTTCATTATTTCCTTTTTTTTTTATTGTCATCATTATCAGGTTTCTATTTCATGTCAGTTATTCTATTATTAAACTTTAAAAATGTTTTTTTCTATTTTTATCCCCTTCACCGTGCTATTGCATTCTAATTCTCTACTGGGTTTATATGATTTGTAACTTCTTATATGTTTACAGTCAAACTTCCTGGTATAACTGATTGATGGATTGTCTACATATGATTCCTTGTATGTAATTGAAGTAATGCATGTGTATCATGTCATAGGATTAAATATGTTGATTACCAAAGATGCTGTTATTTCCTATTGACAAAATATGCTCTTGAATTCTGATTTTGCTTTAATTAGATGTTTGGTGTTACTTTTATACAAGGGGTTATACATTCAGTTTTAACCTCATGTAGATAGGAGAAAAAAGAAATAATGCAAGTGACAGTTCTATTACAACTTGCAAGTAGTTGTGACATCTAAAACTTAAGAGAATTCTGAATTTGATATGTTCGTGGATGTCGTAGGTATGGACGTTACCGTCCATGGGGTCATTCCTCATCAAGAAAACAGAATGGTTGGCAAATAGCATGGTGGCACTATGCACAAAAATCTATCCTATCAGATGTCCACAGGAAGTTGAAGAAAAGCTCATGGAGATACCTAGGACAGCGACTGTAAGTTGTGTACCATTTTCATGTAGCTTTAAGTATTGTTATATGACCATTTTTTGGGGCTGTAAGCTCTCACGCTTGTGGGTTCACACATTGTATAACCTGTCATTGTGTTTGATTCAATTATGGAATCATGAATGATCCTTGTTTCAACTGGTATATAGTAATCTGAAATTTTACCCTTTATTGGGTAGTTTCTTGAAAAGTGTTGAAAGAATTCAATTTAATGCCTTCCTGAAATATTTTTGTATGAATATGCTTTTGCATTGACTGTTTGCAGATCATGTCTTGGTTACAATCATCTGGAAGGTTTATTTTGTCTTTAGCCATGGAGGAGACAAAAATATTATATAATCACAAGTCACTAAAAACTGTGATATTTGATTCACCTGATTACTAATCCCAATATAGTTGATTTCAACTGAGTATTCACTTTGTAAATTTTATGATAGGGAAACTGCATAAAAGTTGTTTCCATATATAAATTGTCATTTCTAATTGTTTCCTGTTACAAATCTGTAGAAGCTGTTTGTTTCTGTTTAATAAGTGTGATCAATTTCTGTCATTTGCGTGGTACCATCTTTTAATGATAGACTTTGTGATTGATTTGACGTTTGCATGACTTGGGAGGCCTTCATTCAAATGCCTCTGCTCTTCCAACCCAAAGCCAAATTAAACAATTAGTACTGCCTTTTCATTGTGTTTTTTTTTTTTTTATCTATGATGAATCAGATATTAAAAGTGGTTTCTTGATGGTCCCAATAGCAGGATTCTGTGTTGTCATTTGCCACATTCCCAAATTTTTTGATGTGTTAATTACTTCTGAATACTGGCTCAATCCATAGGCAAAATCCTTTATATGATTTCTTCTCATACAAAACTAAAATGCTAAACATCCTGTAGAGTGTCAATGAAAACCCCAAAAGTAAAAGAGTTGAATAGGACCCGCAGCATTATAGCCATGTTCCAGGAGAGTCTGTAAATTACCTATATCCTGAATCCTAAGGTACCAAATAAATGGCGGAGGAGCTAAATTATTTAAAGAAAACACAGAGTTACTGCTTTAAATATTTGAAGTTTTTTGACTTGCTTTTGATAGATCTTGTTGGTTGCATCATGTTGGCAGCCTCTCTGTTGGTCCTTATCCTTTGTTTCATTTAATAGTTACACTTCTCTCTCACACACATACGCATGTTACCTCATCTAACTGATTCTTTGTCAGCAAAGCAACTGTATTAATTAGTAAAGCCTTTTTTTGAGCTTTTCTTCCTAAAAGTTTCAATTACAGGGATTCTAGGCGGAAGTATATTAAATTGTACAAGATTAAACTAGAGTCTCTTCAACAAGAACTGGTGAACTTCTTTTCTTTCCTAGTTAAATAAATGCACATTTAGTCTTATTTGTATTCTTATCTTTCAGTTTCTGAAGTTTCTCCAGAAATGATAAATTGATTAAGCTTAATCTTTCAAATTTTAGAGCAATGTTCGATTAATTGTCCGTTTTTCTCTTCTATATTCCTAATTGCCTTACTAATTGAATAATTAAACCGCTTTCCATGTTTCATTGTTTATTTTGTCATTCATTGAAAAAATTGACTATTCACCGACCGGCTGTTTCTTTGGTTTTGTTTTTTACTATTTAAGCCAATTGATGAAGATATTCTTCTGGAATTGGAACGAATGGAGAAAGAATCTGAAATTGACGATATCTTAAATTATCGGTCTGCTGCTGAACGTGAGCTTCAGGTATATCTGTTTGAGGTTTTTGTGTGTGCATTTTTGATGTTATAGGATTGGTTCCTAGTTCTGTATGACAGTCACTGTCTTCTTATATTGTCGTTTATTTATAATTTGTAACTTCATGATGTTTTTTGGGCATGATATTTGTCTTCAGGAAGTTCTGCTAAGTTCTTCATCTTCAAATATGGGAGTGAACGGTGCCAATATTTCTGTTGCAAAGTCGAGGAACAATGAAACCTACTTGGGAAGGTCCCGGGGCTGGTTGAATTGGCTGTCTCGTGGCATGCTTGGAGCTGGTGGAACAGATGATTCTAGTCAATTTTCTGGCGTTGTCTCAGATGAAGTCGTAAAGGTAGCTATGCATGATTATTGATCATTAAACTAGCTCGAATGAAAAAATATTATCCCCTTTGTTTCAAAATTGTAATTTGGCATGGAGACTAAAAGGGTCTTTTGAATGGAGTATGTGTTATTAATTTATCAATTTTATTCTTTAGTGTATAGTGGCCAAAATCAATTTGATTTGTTTGAAGGGTATTGTTGATAAAATAAAATTTTGATTTATTTACTTATTAGTGAAATAGGTAAGTGGATTAATTTGGGGGACACAAATTTATAACGTGGAATATTGATTTGGGACAGAGGGATGAATATTATTTTTAGTTTTAAATAATCTAATGTTTTTCATCTTTTGTGCAGGATATTTATGAAGCTACAGAGTTCCATCCATCTGTATTATCTAGTGGAGATGCTGATGCAAATGATAGGATATTTACTTGTGCAATCAAGTTAACCATAGGTCAAATCGCTGCAACTCTACAAAGCAAGTATGGTTGCTGATCCTGTTACCCCCTCTGCGGGTCAAGTTGATTACTCTTCATGGTCAAATATACAAGTTCTATAGAGTTTTCCTTGTGCTGTGTCCATTGGTGAATTGCTTGTTCTGAAATGACACAACGACCTTGGACTTCTTCGACCCTAGTAATATTTGTCATCGCATGGTACTTTAAACTTTTACAATAGGTGGCTGTAAAAGAATCTGGCTACAAGTATAGAACTAGTTTAGGTTCAAAATATATATGCAATGGAAGAAACACAAACATATAAACAAGAAGTAATTTTCAACTTAGACTCAGAAATTGTGGCCAGAACGCCATACTGGGGCCGTACAGGTGTATGGGGAAATAGAAAGGTTGACAGAATTAAATTAGTATTTCTGCTATTATTTTAGTGGTTTGGAAGTGTAGGGGTTTGAAGGTCTATATTTCTTACACTGAGCCTAAAGGTGTAATGACAAAAAGAAAAAAAAGGGGAAAAAAGAATGTAAACCTTTGTGCTTGCTTTTAATTTTACATAAACCTTTTAGGTATTGTGAATTTTAGCTTGATTTGAAACTTAGTTTCGATTTTGTCTAACCGGTTAAATTGGTCTGATAAAAATAATATTTTGTTACTAATTAAAACAAATATTAAATTCCTTTATTTTGTTTCCCTTTTCTCTCCCTTCATCCTTCCCCTTTCTCTGCACAAACAGCCCCCCCTCTCTTCTCCCCCTCTCCACCCCCCCCCTCCCCCGGGCGGCCATATCTGCATCTTACTGATACAAAATGACAAACACCTTGGAGCCAGTACCATAATACATAAATCTGGTGTTGATCTACATACTCTGCTTCTTTAAAGGCTAAATCAAAGTAGCAAGAGACACCGTCAAGATCAGGTTTCATCATAACTTGGTCCGCTTTTCTCTATCAGGAAAATTGGAGAATTTTATATTGCTAGAATAACAGTTTGATTTGAGTCCATTGTTGTGAAAATGCAAGCAAGGAAGCTTCAGTAAAACCTTCTTCATGGGTGCTGCTATTTGTAGACAGAGGCAGTCATTTTAATTTTATAGTGAAAAAGCATTTTGATATAAAAGACTTATCTCTCAAGTTTCAAAAGTAGTTTTCTCTGGCAATTATTACTGAATGGAGTAGCAACTTCTTTGACGCTGTTGCTTTTTTCTTGGTAATTATTTAATAGCCCTTTAACCATTTTTTACAGGTATTTCAGTCAAAGAATTGCTGAGCTGATTTTTAAAGGTGCTGTTATAGAGTGCAAACTTTGGGAAGAGTTAGCATCCATTGTTTGCTACATTGAGTCAGCAAAAATGGTTTATCCATGTAATGAGAGAGTTATTCTTCAAATAGGAAAGGTTTGCATTCTTATATGTTACATTGTTTTGTTGATGTACAATTCTTTTTTTTTTTCCCCTTTTATTTATTTTTTTCAATTTGTTTTAAAGGAAAGAAAGTACCAGTCACCTTAGAGTGCTGAGGCCGAAAACTATTAAACTAGTAATACATTTCTTCCAATGGTAGGGAAAAACTTAGTTGGTTTAGCATGGTGAATTGTGCACATATATGTTTATTTGGACATTGAAAAGTTTTAATGAACTCACTGGAATCTGGATATTCCAAATGAACTATCCATTGTAAACAATATTCGCAGAGATTCATTGTTCGTGATTCTTCTTAAAAAGGTGCTGTTATAGAGTGCAAACTTTGGGAAGAGTTAGCATCCATTGTTTGCTACATTGAGTCAGCAAAAATGGTTTATCCATGTAATGAGAGAGTTATTCTTCAAATAGGAAAGGTTTGCATTCTTATATGTTACATTGTTTTGTTGATGTACAATTCTTTTTTTTTTTCCCCTTTTATTTATTTTTTTCAATTTGTTTTAAAGGAAAGAAAGTACCAGTCACCTTAGAGTGCTGAGGCCGAAAACTATTAAACTAGTAATACATTTCTTCCAATGGTAGGGAAAAACTTAGTTGGTTTAGCATGGTGAATTGTGCACATATATGTTTATTTGGACATTGAAAAGTTTTAATGAACTCACTGGAATCTGGATATTCCAAATGAACTATCCATTGTAAACAATATTCGCAGAGATTCATTGTTCGTGATTCTTCTTAATCTTAAGTCTTAATTATGTTAAGCAAGCTAAAGTCATGTCAGGATTATGGCCTTGAATTTGGCAATGTCTGTGTACATTTTAAGTTCTGTATAATTTTGATAGTTTGAATGTCAAATTTTATGTTCTTAGTGTTATGAGATTCTGCTCTGTGCATTTATATGTTGTTTTAATCTGGTTCACATCCAGTTGCATGTAATTGTGAAATCACGCACTCAATGATCATAGTTGCTAGTCACAACTGTCACAAGAAGGTCACCAGAATAAGTTAGTCATGGCGGCATGCAACATTAGAATCTGGACTTGATGTTCTGGATTTGTGTTATCTAGCTGCTAGATATGGTTCAAAATATCGGGTCCATGCTGCTATCACTTATTTGACTGGTCAAGTACTTGGATATTACCTATCACTCCCGTGGCATCAGTTCATTTATTGCTTTTGCTCGGGCCATGTGATTTCCGTGTTGAAAATTTCTTTTATAGCATTTCCAGCTTGATTAAAACTCTAGAAATTAATATAAAAGAAGTGTAATATCGTATCTGTGGTATTGCATACCTTGTTTTTATTATTTGATAGAATGGTTAACCCTTAAGCCCTATTCTTAGTGTTTGTCTGTAAGGTAAGATACAGTATTTTTTATTTTTCTTTATTAGTACTGAGTTGGCCGAACAGCATTCCATGGAATTTACCTCATTGTTTACTTTTGTTGCAAGCAATATGGAAGATTTCACCTTAATTTTGTTTCTCTGCAGCCCCTTACAGAGGAAAAACTACAGGAAGATGAGCTAACTTCATGTAGAGTCCAAGTGGATGTGTCACCAGTGCAAGAGGTGGAACTCTCTGTCAGGGTAATTGGCTTATGCCTGGTCCCTTTGAATGTGTGCTGTACAATTTCTAACCATGTCTTGTTTATGCAGGTCATGCTTCAACCTCTTGAAGTTACTTATGATGTGGAATTCTTCCTTAAACTTGCGGAGTTTTTCAAAGAATTAAAATGCTTTGAATTTCAGCATGAAAGGGTGAGTTCTTATGTTTGTCATATTAGAGTTCCCTCCTGTACTGTTTTTTTGATCATTTGTTGCTGCTTCAGCATTAGTTGGATCTATCCATGATGTTCCAAGGGAAGGGTAAATTGTTGGTTCATTGCATGAAATACGGTAGAAACTTTATTTTCAGGGTTTTTAGTCGTCAGACTTTTGGGCTTCCAGAATTTTAAGAATCCCACATTGAATAAATACTGCATCCATAAAGCGCATATAAGGGTGGAAGGCTAGCTAGCTAATTGGTTAGTACTAACCTTTTAGCATTGGTTGGTCCAAGCCCAAGTAAGGCCATCTCACACAACTTTATCTTCATGGATTCTAACCTCTTGTCCAATTCACCTCTACCCTTTCATTTGTAATAGAATAGATAGCAATCACTCAGGAATTACTCAAAAAAGAAAATCTTGTTAATTTTCTGTTCGCCAACACATGTATGGAAAATTTAACCATCATTGCTCATTTCAAATTAAATTTCTACGTTTATGTTTCTAACTGATAAAATACAATCTCCTGAATAGAAGAATTGAAAAGCATAGTTACACAACTTCCCGCAAGAAGACCCATTAACAAGAGAACTGAAGGTTGACTATATTCAGTAGCTGCAATTGAAAATGTCTATGAATATCTTCGATTTGACTATGTGCCTAATAGTTAAACATTGGTGTATGAATCATCTGGTTTTAGCTAAAGTATCTAATGCCTAAAACGGTTTTATGATGTGTTGTTTATTCTTATGGCATTCTGAAGTTCAATCATATGGCAGCCTTGTCTATGATTTTGAATGATGGTCGTTTCCATTTTTCTCTTTAAGATGTTGTGTAACTACACCAGACTAGTCAATAATTCAGCATTGATTCTGCTGCAGGTCCTTTGGTCGCTAAATGGGTTTAAAGATGTTAAGACTCGCTTATCATCAAAAATTGAGTGAGTTCTTTAGCCACTTCAAATCTTGGTTACTTTATCTAAATAATAGTATTTGTATCATCCAAATAATAGTATTTGTATCAGTACAAATGTTGTCATCTCTCATTTGAAATATTATTTGGCATGCAGGGTCATGGTTGCATATTTATATTAATATTTATTTTTTGCAGGTATGCTTTGTCAAGCCATAAAAAAATAAGTTGGGATGTTAGCATCTTGAATATTATTATCAATGTACCTTGGAGAAATGGCATTGCGGAACAATGTAACTTGGTAATTAAGTTTCTTTAATGTTTAGTGGAAAATCATATCGAATTTGCTTCAATAATATGTGTTATTATTTTTCATATTTTCAGATTCAAGAAAATTTAAGTTGAAAAACTATAGAAACTTACAATTATGGTTTAGATGTTACATTGTGCTTATGTGGGATATTACACAATTGTTTTTATGCTGGCTTTCAAATGACCAATATCTGTCTAAATACACAGCCCAGCAAGCTCCTCTACCAACAGTCCAAAGGAGATGGCATAGGACTTCTCTAGAATGCAGTGATTCTTGCTTTCAAAGTAGACTAGGAGTTATACATAAGATTTGAAGATGATGCTTAGGCCTCCGTAGCAACACAATCACATCCTCCCTACCTTTCAATTACCTATAAATTCATTTTTCTACCTTGAAACTTTACCAATATCTTTCACAACTACCCTAGAAATTGTTGTAACTTTTTCCAGTTAATATTCATTGCCCACCTGAAAATAACAAAGTGGACTTTTTTTTTTATTTTTTTTAATTTTTTAAAACAGAACTAAGTGGACTAATTATTCATCGTGTATATTTTTACGCCTCAACAAAATATACATTTCCAATGCATCGGTCTTATATACTATTGGGCCAAATCCAGCATTTACAGCTTAGGGAAAGTGAGTGCATAACTTTTTAAAATTTTGTAAAAGAGTTTGGTTCAGAGTGGGGCTTGCTAAGAAGTCAACTCCATATACATGAACTTCAATTGAATGAAATATCAATAAGCATTCCTTGTATATAGTGATGATTTTGTTACTAATTATATATTGCTGATGAAATACCTATGCATGTTAATAAACTTGAAATTTTCATGTTCATAATATACATGAATGAAGCATTACACCTGACAGTTTGTTTAACAATAAAATGAAAATTATAGAAACAATTTGAACAACTGTAATAAATCATGGGCCATGTGTATGGCATGTGTAAGTGGATACCTACTAGTTTAGTAACTATTGTGTTTGCTTCGCTTTAGTAATTTGGTGGCAGAAAACAGTTTGTAGTTTTCCTTATTCATTTTAAGAGAATCATGAAGTTGCTTTGTGTTTGTCCCCTTATGTCTGTCCTATTATGGCCTCTGTTGTATGGAACAGGTTTTGGAGATGGAATCTCTTCAATATAAATCTAAATATGATGAGGAGCTTGTTGCTACCTCTGCTCTGGAAGAATCATATCCCCATAAACAGTTCTCAAGTCCTAATGTTCAAGATCTCTATAATTACTTCGCTGTCAAACTTGAGAATTTTGAGGTCAGGTACCATTTTTGTTGGATATTCTATGATCTGCTTTGATTAATGGGCTTCTAAATATAAAACTTGATATGCTGCAGCTGAAGATAGTGATGCCTCATCATGCTCAAACAATTAATATCTTGGAGAGATTTTGTGCTTCTATCACCTTTGCATCGTGTATCATTCCCGATGAATCAATATTGAAACAATTGGAGGTAACCAAATTTGAAATTGCCTCTTTCTATAATGCTGTTAATCCAAAATTTTTATTATATAGCACTAAGCGATTGTAATTCTGCAATGCAACAATAAGTTTATTCTTTTACATTTATGTTTGTGTTGTGCTGTTATTGATTTTTATCATTTTGACTAAAGGTGTTGGAAATGCTGCGATTTTTTGTTTAGGAGTATAAGGTAGATTAAAAATGAGTAACATAACTATATTTATGTGGACGTAATCAATCTTGAGAAAGCCAATGTAATCTGATTTACTTGTTTCTTTGTTTTCTGTTAGGAACTTGCAGTTGCAGACTTGGCTAGCTAGTGGGGTTAGTTATTGCCTGTTTGGAATTAAAAAAAAAAAAAAAAAGAAGAACACACTTTTGAGAAGTAGCTCCAACTCAATCCCAAACTGGGCCTTAGTTTCAGTATTAAAGTGAACTATGTGTAGGGTAAAGCTAAATTTGGTGTTGGTATAGAAGTTAGGCATGGTTTTAGTCTACTTTGTTACTCTCTCTCTCTTAACTAAAGCTACATAAACTCAAAAAATTATTGAAAGCTGGTGTCCCTAAGAGGTTCAGTTCACAGAACCTGTCTTTGTGTGTCTATGAGCTTTCTGCTCCACCATTTATCAGTAAAAGTAAAATACGCAAAAAAGAAATGTAATTATATGTTAATCTATAGTGTAAGATGAGGGTATTATTTTTAACTTGTGAAGGAGGGGATATAAATGATGTAGCCTTCAATTTCTTGCGTTGAGTCAAATAGAGATTACTTGGGGGGGACAAGGAGGCATTAGTTATTGGTAATCATAATAGATGCAGAATTGATTATTAAACTTGTAATAGTCTTATGCTCCCTCTGTCCCATTTTGTTTGCATTGTTTGACAAAACACGCATATTAAGAATTTAGTCAATAAAAGTTATTTTGCCTTTTTTTATCCTTAACTCATTGAAGATATTAATAAAAGTCCCTCATTTAATGAAGGATTATAAATGTTATTACAGGAAAAATAATTGTTTACATGTCTAAATTTCGAAACCTTGCAAACATTTTAGGATATCCAAAAAAGGAATAGCAAGCAAACAAAATGGGACGGGGGGAGTATTAGTGTTCCTTGAGTGATATCGCGGATCATCTGCTGGCTATCAACATGAATTTATCTCTTCATCTTTCCTTTTCCTTTTCTTTGTTATTTTCCTTCTCAGTTATGATTTTAGAACCTTTATTCTTCGTCAAAAAAAGTAACCTTGAAACTTACAGCTTAGCAAATAACTGCTTTGTTTTTGCCAAAATACTTTATTTTTAGGGTTTCATCTCTCTTGGTTCATTTTCTTAATTTCAGGTTTGCATTGTTCTACCATCACTCACTGGGAACTTCTCTCTGTCAATATATGAATCAATAACGGCATTAGTGACTTATCTACATATGTTATATTCAACCACTATATCTCTGATTCCCAATAGTCCATTTTCACTTAATCTTATGTCAAATCAACCTGGGGCTTCTACTTTTGGATTTTCTATTGCTGCAAAGTTGAACTCTTTGAGTTTACATGTTGACCTTGCAAATGATGGAGAAAGCAATTCTGATCTCAAGCTTTTCCTTCAAGAATTAGATGTTCGGTATGTTTTCTGCTGCTGACCTGTGCTTATCTGCGTATGCATGCTTTCAGCTCCCAGAACACGACTAAACTTTTATGATGGTGTTCTATGAATTGCAGATATTGTCATATGGAATTCGAGGAGTGTTTCATTTGTACCAAAGCAGCAAAGATCAATGCCCGATTGGGAGGAGAAAATGATGGTTGTGTTCTGTTATCGTCTGGGAATCAATTTACCTCTGCTGTTGCACATCATCAAGGCTGGTGTGTTGAAAATAGCAATCAAGGTGGAAATTTTAGGGATAAAAGTGCAAATACTAAAGCTTTCTTTCTTATGCATTATGAAGCTCACAGAAGTGCAGATTTTGATTTCTGCAAGTGTACAATTGACTTAAATGATGCTGATCTCCATTGTTACCCCCGTGTATTTGGGCTGTTGATTGGATTCTATGAAAGGTTATCTTCAAATGGTACATCTTTAACTCATGATAAATCCCTTAGCTTTGTGCTGGATGGCAAACATCAAAATAGAAGAATTGGTTTTCAGTTTCAAAGGTTTGGTTACTCAAATTTTGTGGAGACTGGGTCATCTGACCATCCTAGCATTTCTTTGGACTGCTATCCATTCATTACAATCTCCAATTCTGGTTCTCTGAGTAGCCTTGAGAGTTCTCTTTGTCATTCCATTCCCTACTGGAGGAAGTTATTTAATATGCGGGATAGAGAACTCAGAAGTCCAAATTTCAGTTTAGAAAAGGAATCTAAAACCTTTCAGGTTTCACCAGTGATGCAAACATCTGGAATGGCTGCAATTGCACCAGGAAGTTCAGATGGCACAGAAGTTTTTAGTATTGATATCAATCTTTGTGGAACAAGAGTGCATTGGCATGATTCCTCTTGTATTATTGGAACTGTTACAATACCAACCTCTAAAACTTCACTTTCAATTTGTGAAGACTTCATGGATTTGTTGTGTTCTGTAGAGGGGTTGATCCTCTCATCACCGTGGTGGACTAAAAACTTAAAAGATTTTTTGTGGGGACCCTTATTACCAAATCTACCTTCTATTTTGAATTTGCGTGTGAGGAAAAGGCATGCTGGATTAGTGACTTCTGATCTTGAAGTTAGCATTGGTGTTCAGCATGTATATTGCTTTCTTCCACCTGAGTATTTGTCTATCATAATAGGCTACTTTTCATTACCTGATTGGACTTCAAATTTTAGTGAGCAGCCAGTTACTGAAAATCATGACCGTATCATACGGGAAGAAGGGAATGTTGTTTACAAGTTTGAGATACTGGATTCTACTTTGATTCTGCCTGTGGAGCGTGACGATCATCAGTTTCTGAAGATAGAACTTCAACAGTTGTACTGTAGTTTCATCCTTGAATGTTCTCCTGATGATGTATTGAAGGGTATTCCCTCTGAATGTATGGTTCCATCACATAAAATTGCCAAAGCAAATCACTGTTTAAACATTTTTGGAAGGGATTTATCTATTTCTATCCTATTGTGCAAGGATGATGGATATGGTTGCTTAATGGTTGACAAAGATACTGGATGTGGCAATATTACACTAATAAGACCACTTAGTGCTGATGTCTGGGTTAGACTTCCCTGCGAAAGTGAATCTTGCCCTGATAGCTCATCTGCTTCCATGTGTGTTATGTCAAGGATTGCCAATTGCCAGCTTATCGCTGATGGTAGGTTATTTTGGTATTCAAACTTCCCATTGAATACCTTACTGTTAATGCTTGTTTCTGTCCTCTCTTTCAACTAATGACTATGTTCTGCGTTTAATGATAGATGGCAACACTTTGGATGGATTCGAGGCGCTGGTGGATGTAATAAATCAGTTCTCTTCAGTTGACAGTGAATCCAAAATTTTCACCTCTAATGTTTTACACTTTTTTCAGTTGAAAAGAAGTCTGAAGGAAAATTTAGTTGTTCCACCTGTCTGGTCAGGTACAACATTTACAGAAGCTAGGTTCTGTGCTGATTCACTGTCAATAAGTTTGTTTCAATCAAGGAAAGACTCACTTCTGTCACAACCAATAGCCAAGGCTGATATGAAATTCATTGGTTCTGTATCTTTGATAAATGAGACGCTCATGGACATGGACTTGAACTTTTCTTCTTTGGTACTATATTCATTGCTCAATTGTGTCACTATAGCACAATGTGCTGAAGCTTGCTCAGCTTCATCAGCTCTTCATATATGTTTCTCAAAGTCTATTGAAGGTGAAGATGAGGTTCATTTTTCTCTTCCTTCTCTGGATATTTGGCTACATGTTTTGGATTGGTCTGGAGTTATTGATATATACAATTCATATTCTAAAAGAATGGCTGAAATTGAAGGAATGGAGGCATCATCAAAGAGTTTGTCTAAAGATGCTATTGATGTCACTGAAAATGTGGCACTTTCTGTTTCTCAAAATTCACAAACTTATCATATAAAGGAGCATACAAAGCAGGATTCTACTGTCCTCTCTGTGAAGTCAGAAAATATCGGCCTCACAATTTATTTTCCTTTGTTGGGCACTGAAATAGCACTTGGTGAATTGGGAACATCTGAAGTGCAGGCGGAGAGGCCACGAAATGTTTCGTCGAATGCTATTGAAGGGAAAAACTGCAAGTTTATGGCACTTAGTGCACATAGTAGAAGTAGTGAGCTATCGATTGTCGGGAGAAATGTGAAATTGAAATCTATGCTGGAGAAAATAAGTGGCACTGTAGGGGTATGTGAGGATAAGAGCATCAACAATTGGCCTTTCTTCCAAATATCCCAAATTAGTTTGATGTCTGAGATTTTTAATAATCAGATGGACCTTTTCAATGTCAAACTGGAGGTTCAAGTTGACCATTTAGATGTGTGGCTTTCTCATCGAGTATTATGCTTCTGGTACAGTGTGCAATTTGAAATTCCTGAAGCTGAATCTTCACATTCTCCATTCAGAAACATGAATTTTAACATCCAGTTAAAGAAACTTTCACTTCTGATCTCTGATGAAAGGGTATGTCATTGTGACTAGCTAAGTTAAAAATTTTGTTTATTTGTAGCAGCATGAATGGCCATTGAATGCATCTTTTCTTGCTGTTCTGCAATGGTTCTCATTATTATTCTTATCTTTGTATATCACCTTTCTATGTATTTGTTACTTAAATATGATTTTTCTTCAAATAGTTATTCACATAATATTATTCGCTGTTAAAACTTTGTTATGGATATTTCTTGTCGCATCATTTTTTGTAATACATTTAATGCTCAAAGACCTGCTTAGTATCTCAACTTGTGTTTGTGATTGTCTTTGATCTGAGGACTCATTTGGCTCGTCTGCCCATTTGCCATATTGATAACTCAGAAAGGAGAATAATGTTGAGAAGGGAGGTTGTTCGTGGAAAGAAAGGGATTCACATGATAGAGACTTTGAAATTTATAATACTATTCCAAGGATTCCATTTTTCTACATATGCCTGTATAGGAAAATTTTCATTATTTCAGGTTAAAGCTTCATTTGGCATAGCAATTCCAACTCCTTCATAGCTACTTTTCGATATTCCAACTATTTTTTGAAGTGAGGTGTTTTCCGTCTTGCTTTCAGAAAATGTGTCAAACTGCTGCTTTTCTGAAAATTAGATTGGCATGCTATAAGATGTAAACCTTCAGAACTATTCTTACATTCCTAGCTAGGGTGTAAACATTGATCTTCTTATCTTATTTCTGAAATAGGCATCTTTCAAATTGTTGTTATTGACTAAATTATTCCCAAATATCATGAAATTTCAAGGACTTCTAAGTTATCTTCCTAAGTAAGTTACTGTAAATTTCATCTTTTGGTGGTTCATTTATTGCATGTCTGAATGTTGCAACTGGTCTCTGAGCCCATTTAGTCTGCAATTTACCCTACATCATAAAACACTGTATCTGTAAACATTCTTTCTTCATTTTGATTAACATGTGTGTTCTGTCATCTGATTATGGGTGACTCGTTACAGTTAATGTACACTCCTGTTGTGCAGAATGTGATCTTCAATTACCAATGCTTAAGCGTATTATATTTTCTTGCATGCTAAGATGTTACAATTAATGTTCATTCTCCTTCCATGCATAACCTTTTTTTTTCCTCTTTAAAAAATTCAATTCACTGTTGTTAACTTTTCTTCTCTACTGTGATTTAGTGGGGCTTTGGTGGACCTCTGTTGGAAATTCTTATGAAGAACTTTCTGTTACATGCTGTCATGATCGAAAATAGTGTGGAGTGCTCCGTAACAATTGACCTTGAAATGAACTACAATAACATTCACAAGGTATATTAACAAAGAAAGAATCAATGCCTTTTTTCTTTTTGCATGTGTGAACTGCTAATGCTGATTTCAAATTTGATTATAGGTACTTTGGGAGCCATTTGTTGAGCCCTGGAAGTTGCGGATAAATATGATTAGAAGACACAATATGAATGCCCTCCTGAATAGTTCCATCACAACGGAGATTCATCTCACATCAACAACACCACTTAACTTGAACTGTACGGAATCTCTAATTGAGGTGTGTATTGATATTATTCCACATGCTTTGTGGGCCACTTTTTCACTTAGGCTAGGTGATGTAGGACATCTTGGGAAAACTTGTGGTCTTAGGTTTACAGAAATCAAGAATTAGGGTTTGTAGTACATCTGAATTTCTTTAGAAAATAAAGGAAAAATTAAGCAAATGAAAGTAAACTACCAGCATCGCACTAATAGGAACTAAGACTCGCTCTTATCAAGAAAGAATAACACTTTCTAGGGTTATGGTAAGATCCGCACGGTCTTCCAACTCTTCAGGCCATTCCATCAAAAGACACCTCTGGTGATTAGTTTTCTCCGTTTCAATGTATAATTCAATTCATTCCCGTGTCTCGCATTTCACTACCTTAGCTAGCCTTGCCATCCTAGAAGCCTACCAGGAGCTTTGCTCTACCCGCCCCCTTCAGACCGCTTAGCTGAGTCGGGATGTTACAATCAGAATTACCTCATACAACTCAAAAATAAAGCATAGTTTGTTGCATTGATTGAAAACTTAACTAAAAGCATTACAAGCATGGATATCTATAGACTTTGAACTACTCCTAAACCTATACGCGGTAGGACATAGAAACTAGTCCTCATCCTTCAAAATATTTGAACTCCTAAGATAAACTGAAAATGAATACCATTATCTCAAACCAACGAGGACTCCAAGGTGAACTAAAATAAATATAAATATTTTTTACTAAATAGGGACACAATTCCAGTGAAGCTGAAATTACGGAATTTCCCTTTGGACAAGTTCTTGACTAGCAACTTGTTTATTTAAATAGACATATAACTGTAAAGAGTCTAGAAATGTCCTATAATATCTAAAACAAATCCTAGATAATATCTTGGCCATAATTCTAAAATTCTTGAGCATTTGAGTTTGAATTTTCTTGATGTCATTGTCCACATTAATAGGATGTTTGCGGATTGTGTAAATTGAATATTGGGAAAATAATTTTTTAATCCCTGAAGTTTAGCCTAATTCACTATTTTATCTCTCTTTTTTCAAGAACTAATTTAATAGTCTCTAAGGTTTCAGTCCGTCAAACTAAGACATCATTCCATCTATTTTTGTGGGTTTTTACCATTAAGTCTTCTTAAAAAGACAAAAATACGCTTTCTCTCCTCTTTCTCTACATTCCCATTTATCAGTTTCCTTCACAATCTCCATCTTGTTCTTCCCCACTCCAATTCTTTTTGTTCACTGTTTCCTCAAATTTTGAATGTAAAAATTACCGTGAAATTGTTCTCAAATGAATTGAGCAATATAAATAATTTGCATCTTATAAACCAATTCCAACACAAGCTAGTCTTCAAGCTGGTTTTGTCTCTTGTTTTCACTATCAAATTCCAACCAAAATGGCCTCTTACACTAATGCCCTGGAACAAACAGATCATCATATTTGTGACATGTTCCTTTGGCTCGTCTTTCCTCTATTTCTGCTTTTGTTAATTTTTTAATAAAGGGAGAGGAGACACTGTTGGAGTGTGCAGGAACTGCGATGCCCTGTATGCACTTGGTTTGTGAACGGAGTAGTTGGACTTGGTGGCGGAAGAAGAGGTGGTATCGTGGTGGTGTGACACTGCAGATAGTGGTTGCTTCTTCTCAAAAGCCCTAGCGAGTCTCATAGCCATTGCCAAATCAGTAGGTTTATGCATTTGGACATCAACCAAATTGAATCATCCAACCTGACCATGAACAATCCCACATGCTGATCTACTCTAACATATGGGCTAGCCTTCTTGAAATTGCCTTTGATAGATTTCTATAGTTCTCGTCTGTTGCAAATGAACCAGGTCTCCCAAAGTATTGCTGCCTTCTGAAGGACCAATCGAATGGAGCAATAGTTTCAAAATTCAGTCTAGTCTATACTGTGCTTTTCCAATTTCAATTAATAATACCAGAGTTGTGCCTGCCCCAACATGTTGAAGACTACCAGTCCAACCTTGTCTGCCTCATTCGTATGCTGGTTCTCGAAAAGTTGTTCGCTTTGGTGTAACCAAATCAAGATCCTCAGAACCGTTAATAGTTGGGAAATCCAGCTTAGTGTATCTAGGAACAATACCCGTTGGCTGCTGGAATTTATCCCTCCTGGTGGTCGTGGTCGTGTGCCCCTTCCATTGATCAACAGAATTGATGTCCTACGAAGAAGTGAGGCGCTGTTGCTGTTTTCGCCTTCTCCAGCTGTTAATTTATTCAGCACAACCATTATCTACTGTAATTGATCCTGAAATTAGGATTTGAATTGACTGAATTGGCTGTCCTAGCGCTTTTCAATCACAACCATTGTGATCGGCTATGATACTAAATTGTTAAGCATACGAGAGTAGGATCGAATCATAGGGCGGTTTACCGAAAAGTTTGTATCAGTTGTCTTTCCCTTATTCTGATTCTTCTTGCGACCTATTTTTGCTAATTAATTCAAGCTCTTCAAAGGGAACTTGAAGACCTTGGACCTCCTTAGAGAGAGAGCTCCAATCTCGTGTTTGGGAAATATTCTAGATTTTTTTTTATTAATAGCAATAATACCTCTTTAAATAGAGGTTACAATGACAAACTAGGAAATTATAAAAATAGGAAGTTTAGTCTATTTAGGAATAGACTCTCTAAAATCTAGGGATCCTATACTAATTAGGAACCCATGTTTTATTGAATCCTATTTAAGCTAATAATCTAACTAATTCTAAGGATCCTATACTAATTAGGAATCCATGATAATCTAACTAATTAATTTGAATAATTCCCATATTTGCTATATGTCCATAACACACCACCTCGAGCAAACTAATTTCAATTTTCTGTACCCAAAAATAATACACCCAATTCCCATGTCAGTAATCTGCTTACACCTGGCCACAAATCATTCAAATCCAACAATTGGACAAATCAATCAAATGAAATTGTAACAGCTCATAACCAAGTTGGATGTACCAATATTAGACAGGTCTGAATAGATCCCAGAGTTGAATATCTAAGTAAAAAAGGAGAAAAAAAAAAAAGAAAAAGAATACCAGGCTAGAGACTAAAGCACAAGAGAATGGAGACAGAGAGGAGAGATATATGAGTTAGCTGGCACGTCGTGCAATCATGTCCGCATCAACTACTTTATTCTCCCTCTCCTGCTCTTAGAAAATTTGAAGCGGACAATGTATAGGCAAAAGCTGCAACTAAGAGGTAGAAATGCAAAAAGAAGAGGAAAAGATAGAATTTTGGGATCCTATGATTTGGGTTAAGTCTTTTTAGCTTAAATGTCAATCTGAATCTGTTTCTGGTTTGGAAGAGATGACAGGGTCGATAACCATTAAGCGTACTTTTGTAATCCATTTTTATTCTCACCTTTGACTACATGTATATGATTGACGGAAAAGAGAGTAATTTTGGACAGAAGAACCATTCAGTTCAAAGGTGCAAAAACTTAAGAATTTTTAAATTAGTTCTTAGAGGGACGAAGTAGTAAATTAGCCAAACCTCAAGGACAAAAAAATTCTTTTCCCTTGAATATTTGAACTTCCACTTTAGCATATTGCTTAGTGTATCAAATTTAATGAATATAAGCCAAGCACAGATCAATCTATAAAGTGGAAGCTTATTGTGAAAAAATTTTCAATGTGATATCATACTCTTAATTATGGTTTGATTGGTATAGGTAAGAAAAAATTTTTTTGTGACTAAGAAAGGGATGAGTGTTCTCTATGAGGACTAAAAATCCTAGTATAACTGAAAAAACAACTAAAACAAGAAACATAAAACACAAGTTAAAAAAGTAATGTCCTTCCATATGGGAGTATTGTTGTTCTGATGGGCTCACTTCCATCTTCAAATACTATTGATGGTTGCCAGTCTTGGTGGATTCGTATGTCAGATTAGTTGCAGAGACAGGAATCATATACTTCTGTCAGAGCAGTCTCTATCCTATGTATAAATTGAAAAGGGAGCAATTCAAATGATTTTACCTTTATATTTATCTTAACATTGCTAGTTGTACTGGAACGCTATTAATCTTCCTAACTGTTTTTTTTTTTCCCCTTAAAGTGTGTTTTCAGGACTATTGAAATGCTTAAAGATGCTTGGTATCTGATGGACCCAACTGATCCTTGTGAAAACCAGGGACCCATAAGTCCTCAGTTTGCTGAAACTATAAGTGGAGGAAGATATGCTCCCTACATACTTCAAAATTTGACTTCTTTGCCTCTAATATACCATGTTCTTCGAGGACTCGTTACTGCTGATGAGTTTGATTTCTCGGAAATGATGGATGGAAAATCTGTGCAACCAGGTGCTTCTGTTCCTATTTATCTAACTGAAACTCCTGAGGAACAATTGTACCGAATCAGGCCTGCTTGGTCTTCTGACAGGCTCAGCGGGAAGCAATCCAGTGGAGTTGTTCATCATTTTATGAGCATTCAACTTGATGGGATGTCTCTGCCTTCTGCTCCTATTTCGATGGATCTTGTAGGACTTACCTGCTTTGAGGTTGATTTTTCGAACTCCTCAAACAAAATTGAAGTCGAAAAAACGGGGGATTCTTCAAAATGCGCCAAAAAAATTGAGGATGTTAGTGATAATATAAATAGTGGTTTTGCTGTTCCAGTTCTGTTTGATGTTTCAGTGCAGCGATACAGCAAGTTGATACGACTGTACTCAACAGTATGTATATTGTTTTTTGAAGCTTTTGATGTCACTATTCATAAGTTTTTGTTTTTCATGGTTTGGGCCATAATTTTTGGTGATTTAGGTCATACTCTCAAATGCAACATCTGTACCACTGGAGTTAAGATTTGATATTCCATTTGGACTATCCCCAAAGGTATGGATAAAAGATTGATTGCTTACTAATTGCAACTTAGGACATCTTTTCCTATTTGTTTGTGGTATATGCTCTCAATATTCTTGTTCTCTCTCTCTTTTTTCCCTTTTTTTTATCTTATTTTATCCATTCCAGATCCTAGATCCAATAAATCCTGGACAAGAGGTTCCACTGCCTTTACATTTGGCTGAAGCAGGTCTTCTTAGGTGGCGTCCTCAGGGAAATTCTTACCTGTGGAGTGCAGCGCATGAACTCTCAAATATTCTTTCTCAAGAAATCAAGATTGGATTTCTTAGGTCGTTTGTATGTTATCCATCTCATCCAAGCAATAATCCATTTCGATGTTGCATATCAGTTCAAAATTTTAGCGTGCCTTCAACTGGCAAGGCAAAGAAAGGTCCAAATTCCTGTGTTACTAAAAGTTCCAATCGACTAGTTGACGTTCACAACCATGATTTGAAGCACTCAAAGAAGCAATTAGTTTATCAAATAACCTTAAGTACTCCATTAGTGCTGAATAGTTATCTTCCAGATTCAGTATCACTGACCATCGAGAGTGGAGGAATTACTTGCACTGCATTGCTTTCAGAGGTTTGTAATCAATTTTTCTATGTTTAGTAAGATGCTGAATGTATGAAATTCTATGCCTCTTTCATTATTCATTTCATTTTGATGTGATCAGAACCTTAACATCTGCCGATATGATTTTTAGGTACAAACTTCATTCCATCATGTGGATCCTTCTCATGACTTGGGTCTCGAGTTCTATATGCAAGGATTCAAACCTTCAGCTTTGAAGTTTCCTCGTACAGAAACATTCAGTTCTGTGGCTAAGTTTAGTGGAACCAAATTCTCTCTAATAGAGACCATGATCTTCAATCCTGAATTATCTAACGGTAACATATATTGCCCATTGGTAGCATATTTCTTTCAAGTAATAAAATGTTTTGACATTGTTTGTAAAAAAGTTATTTGCATTTTATGGTTCCAGGGCCGCTGTATGTTACCGCTGAATTGATGATGGATGCATTCTCTGGTGCACGTGAGATCTTCATTTTTGTTCCCTTCTTATTATATAATTGTACTGGTCTTCCATTCGATATTTCAGAACCCGCTTCGGAAATGAAAGGAAATCATTACACTATTCCATCCTGTTACTTAATTGAAGAAGAAAATTTTCAAGATAAGAAGGATGGTCTCAGCCTTTTATCTTCAGATCTGGACTTACATGCTCCAGCTCAAAAAATTGTTGATCTAGGGAGTGCTTTCATGGAAAATCACATTTTCTTTGCTGGTAAAAAATCTTCTTCAAAAATGTGCTCCCCTGGTGCATCTACTTCAAAAGATCCGGACCTAGTTGATACTGAGCATGGAAAGGTCAAGGCATGCATGTATTCTCCTTGTGCCATTTCTTCTGCAGGTGAAGTTATGGTAAGATTAAGGAGGTGCCTGCCTGGACATGTTGCAAAAAAAAAGCAAAACTCCTTATGGTCAGAACCTTTTCTTCTTGTTCCACCTAGTGGATCACACACTGTATTTGTTCCTCAGTCATCACCAAATGCCGCATTTATAATATCTGTGACTTCTAGTGCTCTTGTTGGACCATTTGCTGGGAGGACAAGGGCCATCACCTTCCAGCCCAGGTAACAAATTTTCATTAGTTCAACAAGGCATTGTACTTTATTTCAATTTTCTGTTGTATTTATATGAGCCCATCGTTAGTATTTTCTTCAGTCCACAAATATGAAACGGGCTTTGTAGTTATATATCAAAGTTATGTTTTATTTATTAATGTCTTTATATTTTCTTCGTTCCACAGATATATAATTAGTAATGCATGCAGCAGAGATTTATGTTATAAGCAGAAAGGAACAAACCTTTTTGTTCATTTGGGCATTGGAAAGCATTCTCATCTTCACTGGACCGACACAATGAGGTGCTTTAAATTATTATGGTGCTGTTTACTGCAATCTTTTAATGTTGAAATGGTCTTTAGAGCACATTGGTTTAATGAGAAAATGCAAATCAAACATTTAGCGAGATGTAAGAGACAAATAAATTATTACTAAATAACTATAAAGGGTATAATCACCTATTGATTAGACAAAAATGTGATGCCTTGGTATACTGTACTTTTTGCTTGTTCCAAGATTTAGGGTCTTTGGTCCAATATGGATATCGAGGAAAACCTATTCATTTTTTATGACCATTTAGCAGTTGGAAATTAAGCAATCAATGGCAGCAGAAGACAAGTAGCCACTAACTGCACAAGGTTCTAGAAGTGATGATCGTGTAATACTTGTATATATTTATATAGTATCTGTTCTAAATTGATGTCAAACCAAGAAATGAAAGAAAACAATGAGAAACTTTATGAAAAACTTGAATGTGTTTCTTGTTAGCTGGATATGACAGAAATGCTGTTTCTATAATTTCTTCATCCTTACTGTCACAGTACAGACAGTAAATTTTCATTTAGCATTTTGCTTAACTTTTTCTTTTCTTGCATTTAATAGTACAATTAACATGCATATTCTCTTATCCATGTTCCTCTTTTGTTGCTTATTCATTTTTCAACCTGTTGCAGGGAGTTATTAGTTTCCATTCGTTTTAATGAACCTGGTTGGCAATGGTCAGGCAGCTTCTTGCCAGATCATCTAGGTGATACACAAGTGAAAATGCGGAATTATATTTCAGGTTCACTAAATATGGTAAGGGTGGAGGTACAGAATGCTGATGTTTCCATCAGAGATGAAAAGATTGTTGGAAGCCTACATGGGAACTCTGGGACAAATTTGATTCTCTTGTCAGATGATGACACAGGTTTTATGCCATACAGAATTGATAATTTCTCAAAGGAGGTTGGTGGTGGTTTAATCATTTCGTGTTGCTGCAAATTACATAATGGTTATGGTGTTAATTTCAGCCTCTCCATAAGCGTGACATTTATCAGTCCTTCAAAGTGTGATGCTAAAAATTTGTAACTCTGTATTTTTTATATTAATCACTAGTTTGATTTTGAGCACCCCCCCCCCCCCTCTTCCATAAGCGTGACATTTTATCAGTCCTTCAAAGTGAGTGATTGCTAAAAATTGTAACTTCTGTATTTTTTATATTAATTCCACTAGGTTTGATTTTTGAGCAACCCCCCCCCCCCCTTCCCAAAACCTTTTTTTTCTCTTCCTAACCAATAGAAAAAATTACATAGTTGCAATGTGCCCCCCCCCCCCCTCCCAACCTTTCTCTCTCCTAACCAAAGAAAAAATACAAGTGTGCAATGTGCCCAAGTTAACCCCCCTTCTTTTCCAGTTTAATACGTTAATCCTACACCTGCCACATTATATAAGATTATACTCATCAATTCCTTAGAACTAAAAAAGCGATGTAATTGAAATAAAACTTTTTTTTTTTTTAATCTTTTTGTACTTTGTATTAGTAGTTCCTCATTTTTGTTTTGCCTCTTCTCAGAAATTACGGATTTATCAGCAGAGGTGTGAAACATTTGATACTATCATTCACCCATACACTTCTTGCCCTTATGCATGGGATGAACCCTCTTATCCCCACCGTCTGACTGTTGAGGTATGAATGCCTTTTTTTAATTTTGCAAAATGTACCGTGTTTTATTCTTGTCTTAATTTTTTCTCTCTAAGAAATGTATAGGTGCCTGGAGAGCGTGTTATTGGGCTGTATGCTCTTGATGATCTGAGAGAGTTTGTACCGGTACACTTGAAGCCAACTTCTGAGGTATGTGTTGTTTTATGTGAAAAGTGAAAGGTTTTTTATTTCATCTTATGTAAAAAATGGTTACACATCTATTTATACATGGTAAGTATATGGAAATACCTATGCTACCCTTTACACTTAAGATTCAATAAATAGCATATAAAACTCTACAAGACAACAATATGTTGTATTCTTTAGCACATATTTTTCTGGAGGCAGTCAGAGTGGCAGAGAATATTGTGATCTACACGGGTTTTCACACATTAGTTTTGCATCTAGTGTTTTGTAAAGCACTTGATTGCCCACGCAATTATGTTTCTAGTCACATCAAACGAAATAAGGGATTTATAAATATGAGTTCAAGCGTCTTTCTCTTCTTTTCCTCTCTAGATGCACTTCCCTTACCATAGTTTCTTTTCCTTACGATGGAATTAAAGTCAAGTTGTAACTAACATCTCTATATACTAAATTTCATTTGCGTCGAGATCAATTTTTCTTTGTGGTTATGTAACAAAAACTCAGCACTGAGGTGTTCTTTGCTTTCGTTCTTCTTCTTTTTTCTTTTTCTTTCAACTATCCGATCCTAGTTGAAGATGTAAGGTCCGCTGCTGCTAATATTGTTTTCAAACTATCTTACTTGAATTTACCCAACATTACCTACAACTGCATTTGCTGGTCTACGCTAGATATGAGCATATCATTTCACTGCTCTACTTATTTTAACCAGTGCTACTTCACCTTCATACAAATGCAATTAGTCTGTAACTAGTCTTTTTTCTTTTCTTTTTCTTTTTCTTTTCTTTTTCTTCTTTTTTTTTTTTTTTTTTTTTTTTTTTTTTTTTTTTTTTTAAATGCAATTAGTCTTGTAAACTAGGTCTTTTTTCTTTCTCTTTTTCTTTTTCTTTTCTTTTTCTTCTTTTTTTTTTTTTTTTTTTTTTTTTTTTTTTTTTTTTGCATATTTCAATTTTATTTTCATCCACTTTCTCTGCCATTTGCTAATCTTTGATTTGAGTTTCTTTTTACTTTACTGTTATGATTTTGTTTATGATTAAGCTGGTTGTTAGCTGTCATTTAGTTTGTACTTAGCTGTTGACGTGTTTTTTTATTGATTAGCTGCTGTGAGCTGTGTTTATGATTAAGGATGCCTTTGTAGCTGGTTATGTATAGATGCGATCTGTGTTATTGATTAGAGATGCTGGTGCCTATGATTAGCTGTTGTATGCAGTTATTGATTAGCTGTTGGCTGGTATATTACTGTATAGTGCCTAATAAGTCGTGCATATTAAATTGTACATATGTAAAGTAACTATTTATCATTCCCCAATTTCTTGGAGGGAAATTACCAAGAACGTGAATTTTTCCTCCTCATTTCTTCTTCTTTTTCAACATGTATCAGAGGCCAAAGAAGGGCTGATTTTCTGCTCTTCATTTCTGCCTCTGCCAACCTTTTCTGCTTCCTGAAGGGCTGATTTCTGCTTCTTCACTTTCTACCTCTGTATTTTCTGCATTTCTCTGCACTTTCTGCCCCTGCACTTTCTGCTTCTATATTTTCTGCATTTCCTGCACTTTCTGCTTCTGTGCTCTCTGCAAAGGGCCTGAATACATTCTCTCTTCTATAGTCATAGCCACTATCCCAGGCCTGCCCTTCTCCGACAACCTTCCTCTTCACTGTTCTGCTACTGAATATGGCTGAATCAGGTATAATCAAGTCTCTTCTTCCTAATTCTACTGGTATTACTACTGTAAAACTTCAAGGCAGTAGCAATTACATTTCTTGGTTCAATTCTATTGAGCTATGGTTCTTAATTGAGCTTATGGTTTCCTTAGGGCCAAGGATACCGGATGATCATCTTATGAAAAGAGATGCTATTTGATATCGTGTGCAAACCGATAGGGACAGCATGGAATTCGGAAATTGATTTGCTTCAGTTTGTGGTAGCCTATTACTGGATACTCATTTGATCCCAAAAAATTACTTTCCTCTTTTTTTCAGTCCTGTAAAAACCCTGTCTGTTTAAGTCTGGGGACAAAAAAGCCAAAACATTGTATACCAATGCATATACAACGAAATTTATATATGTTGTCTCTAATATTATTGTCCCATTTTTGCAGCCAAAATCAAAATTGGATCATGGCTTAGGTTACATTGTGCAAGTTGAGACATTGAAAAAGATGAGTTTGTTTCCATTATGCCTTTCACAGAGAATATTGCCTGAACAAGAAAAAACAAAGAGACAAGTTTTTTTTATGTTCTTGGGCTCTAATCGGCCTTTCGGGAAACCCCGATTCTTTAGCTCTGTTCGAGATCAAATTTTGACTGCGGTTCCTTTGTTCCTACCTTAGAAAAGATTATCTCCGCTCGGACTTTTCCTTCGTATTTTTCACCCACCATCCAGCTTGCACTCCTCAACATTGAAGCTTCTGCTTTGCCAATCCAGAATAGTAATCAAAGATGGGAAAAGTAATAGGTATAGGTTTCCACTTGCACCTTATTGTTGATTAAAAACCAGCGACATTACTCGTGAAAAACCTGTGGAATTACATGGTAAAAAACCGTCTTAGAATCAATCGGCTGTACTGGCAACGAACTGCAGCTGTATTAATGGTTCAAGAGTAACTGGAGCTGGAAATTCCTTCCTTTGCCTGGTACATTCAAGCAAATGTAATGGAGCTGGAATTCTTCCTTTGCCTGGTACATCAAGCAAATGCATCACTCTGACAGGATCAGAATATGAAGAATATGCCCAATTCCAAGCAGCCAAACAACAAGCTCAACAACAGTCATCTAGTCTACAGCACTCTAGCACTTCAATTGCTTGTTTGTCTCAGTCCTCAACCGGTACTCCTTGGATACTTGATTCCGGCGCTTCCGATCACATTTCTGGTAATGAAACATTGTTCTCTACTCTCATTCCTACTCTAGACTCATCCACAGTCACCTTAGCTAATGGTTCCGAAACTACAGTTAAAGGCATTGGGACCGTTCAGCTTATTCCATCAATAACTTTACAATCTGTCTTATACACCCCTGACTGTCCTTATAATTTAATTTCTGTTAGCAAAATCATCGAACAGCTTAATTGCATTGTCATTTTCATAGCTAACTATGGTGTTGTGCAGGATCGGCGTACGGGGAAGACGATTGGAATAGGATATAAGTCACATGGCTTGTATTACATATTCACTATGGCCTTGTTAATTTACATATCCCTCTGAAAAGGCCACTATTTACAATTAGCTTTCTACTGCTTCGCTGAGCTTTCTTACCAACCAATCGGTTTTTGGTCATTCCTAGTCTTCTCTTAAACTTAAAACATTTAGTTCCTAAGGCTACTTTCATTTAAGTTTGTTTTTTGAATTTTGGAATTTCTTTTGTCAACTTGGAAAAAACCAATTTCTCTGTGTTTCAATTTTCCTCCTAAGGGATTGGTCAATAATTAAAGGCTTTGGCTATGTTTTGATTTTTATTGTTCATTACAGACATTTGCGGGTTTCCTAGTCGTGTTAGTACAATTTCTGGGATTTTTTAAATTATTTTGTTACCTTTATTTGATGGGGACTTATTTCTCGTTGTTACATGAGTGTTTTTTTTTAATGAAAAAAAGTCGGTTCGTGAGGAGACGGTTAATATTCTCTATTCTTTTCAAAAATTCTGCTTGCTGAAATTCGAACTCCAATTTGGTGTTTTCATTAAAAAAAACATTACGTAGTTGATAATGCTCGGGAATATTTTTTCTCAGCAATTTAATGAGGTTTATGTCTTTCTCAGGGTATTCTCCATTCCCAAATTCTTTCTTTTGTGCTTTATACACCCCAACAGAATGGGAATTTGCGAAAGAAAGAATCGTCATCTTATTGAAAACAGGCTCCCGAACATTTACTTCTTCATAATCAAGGTTCCCACTGTCATTTCTTGGGGGAAATGCAGTACTTACTGCTTGTTTTTCTTATTAAACAGGATTGCCTTTCTTTTCTGTTTACAGAGTCTCAAAAGCCCTCATTTCTGTTTGTTTTTCCCAAACAGGAACCCCTTTTCATCTTGCCACTTCGTGGACCCCTTTCATCTGCCACTTCGTGTTTTTGGGAGTACTTGTTTTGTTCACGATCATACCCCTGACAAGGACAAGCTTCAACCAAAGTCCATTAAGTGCATTTTCTTAGGATATCCTCGTTTTCAGAAAGGGTACAAGTGTTATGACCCAATTTCTTCCAAGTTCTTTATCTCCGCTGATGTTTCTTTCTTTGAAACTACCCCTTATTTTTCTAAACAGCCGGAGCTTGAACAATCTGTTTTCAATGTTCTCCCCTTTACTATTCTTCCTCCTCCAGCTCCATCTCGCCCTCTTCAGGTCTATTCTCGTCGTCCTACTACTAACCCTGTTTTGAATGCAGATATACAGCCTAGTGACTCATCTCCTATTACAGCCTAGTGACTCATCTCCTATTCCGATTTCATCTCCTGCACCGATCGTACCAAACACAGAGGCAGACAATGCTCCCATTGCCCTTCGCTAAGGTATTCGCTCCACTCGTAATTCTCATCCTATTTACAATTTTTTGAGCTATCACCGTTTATCTCCTTCATATTATGCCTTTATCTCCACATTGTCTACTGTTTCTATCCCTAAGAGTGTCAGTGAAGCACTTAACCATCCTGGTTGGTCTGCTGCTATGACTGAGGAGATGACTGCTTTGCATAATAATGGTACATGGGAACTTGTTTCTTTGCCTCCTGGGAAGAGCACTGTTGGCTGGAAACTTTGGTTTCTTTTGCCTCCTGGGAAAGTGGTCTGCTGCTATGACTGAGGAGATGACTGCTTTGCATAATAATGGTACAAGATGGTAAAATTGATAGGTTAAAAGCTAGGCTTGTGGCAAAGGGGTACACACAGGTTTATGGCCTTGATTATAGTGATACTTTTTCCCCTGTGGCCAAAATAGCCTTTGTTCATCTTCTTCTTTCTTTGGCAGCTATCTATCAATAGCCTCCTCATCAACTTGACATAAAAAATGCTTTCTTGCTTGAGGAATTGACCGAGGAAGTATATATGGAGCAACCTCCTGGTTTTGTTGCTCAAGGGGAGCCTGGTTTGGTATGTCAACTACGTCAATCTCTCTATGGCTTGAAACAATCTCCACATGCATGGTTTGGAAGATTTAGTGCTATTATCCAGAAATTTGGCATGCGTCGAAGTGACGTTGATCATTCAGTCTTTTATCGGCATGGAAATAATAGCAAATGTACTTATCTAGTTGTTTATGTTGATGTGACGTTGATCATTCAGTCTTCTATCGACATGAAAATCATGGGAAATGTACTTATCTAGTTGTTTATGTTGATGATATTGTCATAACTGGCAATGATCATGAAGGGATTTCTCAACTAAAGCAGCATTTATTCAACAACTTTCAAACTAAAGATTTGGGAAAGCTAAAATGTTTTCTTAGGATTGAGGTAGCACAGTCCAAGATTGGAGTTGCAATCTCACAAAGAAAGTATGCTCTTGATATACTAGAAGAAACAGGTATGATGAATTGCAAACCTATGGATACCCCTATGGATCCCAATGTAAAACTTATTCCATATTCCAGGACAAGGGGAGCATTTTTTTAAAGACCTGCGCATGATATCGTGAGGCTTGTTGGGAAAAATTAAAAACTATTCCTTACTAATTACACGACTGGATATTTCTTTTTGCTGTTGAGTGTGGTTTAGGTCAAATTTTTCTTCAGCTCTCCATGGTTGAAGTTCATTTGGGCATTGCTTGTTTGTCCGGCATCTTGAGGAAGAATATATATCAAAGGAAAAACTCCTGGCAAGGTCTGTTATATTGATGAACAAAGGGTCATTCACAAGTGTGGTTTGGCTATTTCAGATGGCAGATTGGGCAGTTTCTCCCTCTGAAACAGCGTGTCCACTTCCTTGGTATTGTAAAATCATGATGAGGAAAATTGATAGCATGGAAAAAGTAAAAAAGAAGGATGTTTTGTGGCTAGTGTCCGAAGCGCAGAAGGCAGGAAGTATCGGAAGCCATGGCATTTTAGCCACTTGTGAACTTGTTTGGGCTCAAGCAACTTCTTTCAAGAATTGAAGTCTTGTGGGAGAAAATAAAAACAGGATGACACTGAATATTGTGACAATTCAAAGCAGCACTTCCATATTTGCCTCAAAAATCCCAATGTTTTCATGAAAGAACGAAACATAATTGAGGATCGATTGTCATTTCAATCAGGACAAAGATCGAGTCCAGGGATGGACATATCTACTTCCTTTGTCAGTATCGAAACGATCAATTGGCAGATATTACTTGACCAAAATCTTACGAGGAACTCGAACTTGAATAACTATTTGTGGCAAAGCTAAGGAAACATTTACAAACATGTTATGCTCCAGCTTGAGGGGGAGGTGTTATGATTGTTATGATTAGCTGTTGTTAGCTGTTCATTAGTTTTGTACCTTTAGCTGCGTTGTTATTGATTAGCTTGCTGTAGCTGTGTTATGATTATGGATGGCTGTAAGCTGTGTTATGATGAATTAGGGGGAATGGGGCTGGGGCTGTGTTATTGATTAGCTGTGTGTGGCTGTGTTATGGATTAGCTGTTGTTGCTGTGTTTATGATTAGCTGTTCAATTAGCTGTAAATTAGCTGTCAATTAAATTACATATGTAGTACTTAAATTTATATCCGTTATGATTAGCTGTTGTTGCTGTGTTATGATTAGCTGTTATTAGCTGTAATTAGCTGTCATAAATTGTACATATGTAGTACTATTTATATCCCCAATTCTGGAGGGAATACAAGAGTGAATTTTCCTCTCATTCTTCTTCTTTTTCACAACTACAATAATTCACTGTGATACAATATTTATCCAAAATTGATACTAGAAATTGCATGTTTGAAAGAAAAAGCTGCTGATCCAAAAGTTAAAAATCTTTCTTATAAAGAAGTAATTGTGGACAGGATTGTTTATTTTCTTTGTTTCTTCATTTTAAACTATTGGTTCTTCTTAATTAGTCTACTGGTAATTAATCTAGCATCGGATAAAAATAGATGACTTGCCCATTTTTTTGCAAAAGAGGGCAACAGATAATTTTGTCACAATTTTTCTGTGCCAAAAACATTTTCAAGCAATTGATTTTGAATCACTTGTATTTTAATATGGGCCCTAGCATCAATTTCACTCTGAATGTTTGGAGAGGTTGCAAATTTCACCCTCAGTTGACCTTTGTGTCATTGGTACCCTAATTTGCAACTTTAGTTGTAATTGCACTCCAAAAGCAATTTAGGTTTAGGATTTACAATTAAAAATTTTAAATGGTGGGTCTCACAACCTAAAATTCCATTTTTACCCTCCTCTCTCCAACTCTCCCTCACATATCCTCCGTTTGTCGTTTAAATTTCACGGGATTGATGGTTTCCTGCATTTCTCACTTCAACCCTTTTCCTCAAAGCCCCAAATTTAAAATCATGCAGCCTACTCTGGTAAGGACATCATGATTCTTGTTGAGAATAGGGGAGGAATTTGTCTAAAGTGGCTAAATTTTAGTGTTAGATGAGCTATTTTCACTTGCTTTTGGGTCTTTTAATGTCTGAGCCAAGCCACACTCTTTCATGGTTGAAGAATTCCACTATTGATGTTGGTGATGATCGAGTTGTTGTAGCGAAGGTAAACCATGGTTTATGTTTGGTTAATGTTATAATTTCATTTCTGATTATTTAAAGTTAATTACATCTATTTTAGTGGACAAGAAATGAGTTGTTTTGGTCATGTTAAGGATTAGTTATAAATAGAGTTCTATTAGGAGTTAGATTCCTAATTAGTTTATGATTTGTATTCCTAAATAGCTAGCGTAGGAATTCAATTTAGTTATAAAATAGAGTTCTATTAAGGAGTTAGATTACCTACATTAGTTTTTTATTGATTTGTATTCCCTAAATAGCTAGCGTCTAGGAATTTCCTTATTTTACTAGACCTTTTCTTGTAATCGATTTATTGATGGAGATACCAAGAAATACAATTTACAATATTAATCTCTCAACCATGGTATCAGAGCCTTCCATTTCCCACAAAAAAAAAAAAAAAAAAAAAAAAAAAAAAAAAAAAAAAAACAGAGATTTCCCGAAACTTCCCTTACGAGAAGCCATTGCCACCCTAGGAAGCCTTTCTAGGGTTAGTATTTTGCCTCACCGCCCACCCCGGTATATTCTCCAGCCGCCGATCAGCGACTCCCCGGAATCTGGTCGCCGGATTCCAAGCGATTGGCCACCACTCGCCACCTCTTTCTTCCTGCTCTGGTTCACGCGCTGGCCCATGTCCAATGGTCTTTTTCACTCCGGTTCCTCTCTCCGATGTTGGCTTGAAGAGAGACATGCAACCCAGAGAGTTGCATCGTCATTCTTGGGCTTATTCAATAGGTTTGTTTGCTGCGATTCTGTTGCAGCTGTGTTGGGCAGTCCTCTGCTACTGTTGTTGCTTTAATTTGCTAAGGAAACATATTTTTCCTTTGCTGTGACAATTAGGTAATTTTCGGTGATTTTCTGCTTTAATTTGCTGAGGAAACATATTTTTCCTTTGCTATGACAATTGGGTCATTTTCGGTGATTTTCTAGCGATTCCTTTTTGCATTAGGGTTTAGTACTGCACATTTGCTGCAGTTACAGGTATTCTGCTTTTGAACCTTCTCCTTCCTTGTTCAAGAAGCAGACTGCAAAACCCCCAGTGAGTTTTTGCATTGTGTTCTTGGCCTTTCAGTGGTGTGCTCTGTTTTTTGCCAGATTTCCTTTGCTTGCCGTTTTCTGAATTATCCTGCGCTACTGGGCTTTCCTCTTTTGAGGCATTGATTATGATATGAAGCTTGAACAGCCCCTGTAAGTTGTTTTTTGGTTCCAGTGAGATTTGGTTTCGACAACCTAAAAGTGGTGTTTGTTGTCTTAAATTTCTGCTTATGTTTATTATTTTTTGCGTTGGGTTATTCTATATTTGCCATTAATGAAAGTCGGGTACAGTTTGCTTGGAGTATATGGGTATTGTGCTTTTTGCTGAAAGTTATAGTAGTTTGTAACAAGTTTGAGCATGATTAAACATCTATGCTTCCAAACTTGACGGGGGGAGTGTTTAAAGGGATTAGTTTTATAAAAAAGTAGAGTTCTATTAGAGTTAAGATTCCTAATTACGTTTTATTGATTTGTTAATTTCCTAAAAAATAGAGCTAGCGTAGGGAATTTTTGTATTCCTAAATAGCTAGCGTAGGAATTCCTTATTTATAGACCTTTGTAATCGATTGATGAGATACAAGAAATACAATTACAATATAATCTCTCAACAGGTCAAAAGTTCTTATTTTGTTTTACTCATTGCTGTTATTAGCCTTGCAAGTTTGATATTTTGTTACCATGAGATGGTTGATTAATGAGAAGATTACTGTCAGAATCCAATAACTAAGTTGAATTTTTTTTTTTTTTTTGTTCTCTTCAGAAACCTGAAAGAACGTTGCTTTTGTCTATGTGTGCTGAGGGAGCAACAAAGGTTTGTTGCTGATACTTGCTACACATGCAATATTTTTATGTGGACACAGCTTGATGATTGTTTTCTTCTTGTTAGGTGCTCAGCATTGTTGATTCAGGTTACCATATTTTAAAAGATTGGAAGGATCTATCTCCCTCTCAGTTTCAAGTAAAAAGTAAATATGAGCATAGAGAGCAAAACTCTTTTGACTACAAGGAGAAATTTTCTCTTGCTATTTCGTGCATTGGTATTTCCTTGGTTAATGCTTATCCACAGGTAAGTAGTATTTATTTGGTCTATTTCTTAAAAGAATTTGAACTTTGGTACATGAACAAGTTTTGGCTCCACCTTTAATTGTGTCAATTATATTTTTAAATTCAAAGTTTTGGTGTTCGTGAGAAATTTGGAATTTGAATTGGAAGGGTAAATGTAAATGATCGGGTTAGAGGTTAGAACCTATGAAAAGAACTTTGGGCTTTACTTAGACTTGTGTCAACCGTTGTGAAAATGTTAAGACTAACCAATTAACTAGTTGGCTTTTCACCCTTAAATGTTTTTATAGATTTGGTATTTTAAAACAATGTGGAATTCTTAACACTCCCTCTCAAGTGCATTCGGGATTGGACATCTTGTTGACACTTGAAACTTGAAATTGTCTCCTATAATTAAATTGGGATCCGCCCTTGAAATTGAACTGAACCAGGCCTCATAGGGACTGAACAACCAGATGAGTCCAGATTGAAATACAGCAGCAACACCAGTGAACTGAAGACATAATTGAAACTAGTCCTAACTCCTAACCTGCTCTGATACCGTGTGAGAAATTTGAATTGAAAAGATAGAGGTGAATGATTGACTTAGATGTTATAACCCATGAAGAGAAATTTGAGTAATTTATGCTTAGTTGGGCTTAGGTGAACCATTGCTAAAAAATTTGTACTAACCAATTAGCTAGTTGGCTTTCCACCCTTATATGTCCTTCATAGATTTGATATTTTAACCATGTTGGAATCCTAATAATGTTAATTATAATTCATCCATGCATTGGCCTCATCTCAATGTAGCAGTCCTACATAGATGTAGTAGCAGCATTATGTGTTCATTGTCTTCTAAAATGTATATCATGCCAGAATTAGTCACAAATTGACACAAAAACTAACGTTTTAGACCATGTACATGATTTGGCCCATGTTTTTTGAGTTTCCTTATTAAAGATGCTAAAGCTTTATCTCTCTGTTAGGAATTGCTTTTTGCATGCGCGAAGGATATTTCTCTTAATCTTCTTCAGAGTCTTGACCAACAAAAGCTTTCCTTTCAAATCTCTTCATTGCAAATTGATAATCAGTTGCGTACAACAACATATCCCATTGTCATGTACTTTAATCAAGAATATAGAAGCAATGCAGCCAATCAGAGAGCTAAGGATGATGTTGCAAAATTAAATGAAAGATCATTGCAAGTTTCTTCTGAAAGTTATTGTGAACCTGTAGTCCACCTAGACATGGCGACATGGAGGAAGAATGACATATCCTTGGTTTCATTTGAGTTTATAAGCTTAAGGTTTGCCTGCTAATTCACTGAATTATATGGTTCATTTGATTCTTTTGGTGCTTATTGTAGTCTGTTAAACATTTGCAGAGTGGCAAATTTTCGCCTTGAGCTTGAGCAGGAACTTATATTAAGCTTGTTAGACTTGTTCAAATCTGTCTCTTCAAGATTCCAGAGCAAAGTCTTGCCTGTTTCAGACACTGGTACTTGCGAATATGTCAAAACAAGAGAAACCCAACTGCATGGATTCAATCTTTCTGCATTTAGTAAGAATCAAATAAGCTGTTTATCTCTACCTTCAGTTGTTCCAATTGGAGCCCCTTGGCAGCAAATTCACCTTTTGGCCAGAAGACAGAAAAAGATCTATGTAGAATTGTTTGATTTAGCACCAATAAAGTTCACTTTAAGGTCAGCTAGTGGCTATAGTTATATTCAGCTTTACCTCTTAATCTATTGCTTATTGATAGACAAACATGATATTTTGTTTTTCGCAGCTTTTCTAGTGCTCCATGGATACTTAGAAATGGTGTTCTTACATCAGGAGAATCAGTTGTCCATGTATGAACCTTTTCCTTCTATTCCATTGCTGCTAGAGTTTTTGCAAAATGATGGTAATTGCATTAATGGTGATGGTAATAATTGTTAAAAACTATATGAGTTGCTTTTGAACATTCTGCCAGTTGCTCCAATATTTTGCTCTAGAACATGTAGCCATGATTTTCATTGAACGATTCTTTCTTCAAAAATTTCTAATCATTATTATCAATTCTTTGAAAAATGTTTTTGACCTGCTCAGAAACTGTCCTATGACTATTAAAAGTACTTAAATACAGGGAAAGTAAAATAACAGTCACTAAGTCTTAATTCCAAACTAGTTGGGGTGGGCTATACGTCTTTGTTGCCGTCTAATTTTAATTAATATAGACTTTTATTCTTCTGAAAAATAGAAGTCTATGCTAATAAAAATTAAGATGGCCATATAGCAGATATATTACAATAAATGCTAGAGCAGCTGCACTCTGCGATCAACCCTCCACTTAATAAGAAAAGGAAATATAAATAACCAAATTTATTTTGTCATACTAATAAGGTTGTATCTATAATATACCCATTCAAATGATGATTTTTTTTTTTTTTTTTTTTTTTTGTTGTTATCTATATATTACCCATTCAACATGATGATTTTTTTTTTTTTTTTTTTTTTTTTTGAAACGGACTGATTTTGGCATTTGGCTTGCTGGTCTTACTCGGAGCAGTTTTCTTCTCTTGTGGTCGGTGCATTTGTTTTTTTTTTTTTTTTTTTTTTGAACGGCTGTTTTGGATTTTGGGCTTGCTGGTTACTGGAGCAGTTCTTTCTGTGGTCTGCAATTTGTTACAAGAAAGCGAATTACTATTTATAAACTTTATTGTTATTCTAATTTAAGCTTTGATCCATATTGTTCACAATTATTAATTACAGAGAAGTCTTATGGCTCTGGCTGATGTTGAGGGAGCTCGTATCCATCTCAAAGAATTGACAATTGCACATCAGATGGCTAGTTGGGAGTCCATGCAGGGTATACTCTGGAGGCATTATAGCCGTCAACTTCTTCATGAGATGTACAAGGTGAACACTCAAAAATAACTTAGGTGGTTTGGTTTTTAAATTCCTCTTTTTCCCTTGCAAAATGTCATTTCTACTGCATAGAAGTTTAGTTTACTCCATAACATCAGTACTACTGTGTAGCTATATTTCACAGTATAGTTCAATATCTTGTTTTCAAATTTTGCAGTCATGCCATATTGTCATGTTTTTACAATTTTGCAATATGCAGGTCTTTGTATCTGCTGGTGTTATAGGTAATCCCATGGGATTCGCAAGGAGTTTGGGACTTGGCATCAGGGATTTTTTATCTGTTCCAGCCAGAAGCTTTTTGCAGGTAATGAGGCCTTGTTAATTGTGATATCAACCGATTATATATGCCCCTGCTATCCCAATGTTGTAATACGAATATTTCTCTAGAGTCCTACTGGACTTATCACAGGCATGGCACAAGGCACTGCCAGTCTTCTGAGTAACACAGTTTATGCTTTAAGTGATGCCACCACGCAATTCAGTAAAGCTGCACACAAGGTATTTCTGCATCTGATGATCCTTCAATAATTCAGGGAATCAGTTTACGTTTTATGTGTGATTATGCATTTGTAATATTGAAGTGGATAAAATTAACTTGAAGATTGTTTGGTAATGTCCTTGTAGGGTATTGTTGCATTTACATTTGATGACCAGTTTGTTTCAACGATGCAAAGACAACAGAAAGGGGTTGCTTCACACAGTAAAGGTGTAATAAATGAAGTCTTAGAGGTAAATTATTTCTGAAATGCGAACTCTTTTTACACCGTCTTCTACTGTGCATACTGCATTTTGACAAATAGCATACCAAATTTTATCATGTGAATCCTACACTCTATAAAGAAAAATTAATATTGAAGTCAAATGTATGCATAATGACACTATAAAAGCTGCATAGTGCTATTCATTTTGATCATGGGTCAAGATTATGGTTACCCTTGTATGCACATGCATAAGGAGATTTAGCTATTGGTTTTTCAGTCTTTAGCTCGTCTCCAATGAGAATTATGGATTCTTCATATTCCCTGAACACATGCATGTTCGCAACTGCATTATTGCCTTTATATGTTGAATAAGGTAATTGGAAAAGAAAAAAAGTGGAAAACAGCAGATGCATAAAACAGTTAATTCTTGGCTTGCTGATTTCAGGGACTTACAGGTCTCCTTCAATCACCGATTAAAGAAGCAGAGAAACATGGTCTTCCTGGTGTCCTATCAGGTACGTACTGCAAATGTAGTATTATAGTATTATTTCCATCACCATCTGCAGCATCATAGGTGAATGAGATGTGAGTTTAGCCATGAAAGAATGCAAATAAATATAGCTGATGAAACTACTTCCTGAATCTTTATTTTCTCTGGGAAGTGATTGGTTTTGTTTTGGTTTGTAAACTTAAGGAACTTGTAGAGATTATACAGTATCAGGTTGGCAGTCTAATAAACCGAACCAATTACTGAAGCCATCTATATGCTGATATGTTGTAGAGAATGGACCCTTTGGAGGTCATACGGTCTTAATGTAATTAAAATAACCACCAATGAGCACAAATTTTCGAAGGGAAGTATCTGTTTGTTTACTGGTTGTTTGGACTGAACCTTGGCGAGTCCGACAAAATTGCAGATAACCTTCCACACTGTTAACCCCCCCCCCCCCTCCGCAAAATTGGTCAGATAACTTCAACACTGTTAACCCCCCCCCCCCCCCCCTCCCCCCCTTCAATTGTGCTCTCAACAGAAGGTTTTGTTGTTTTTATTAATCTTCGGATGAAAACCACAGATTCTAAGGGCTGGTTCTTTTGTTATTAATAGTTCTTGCTACCCATGTCTTCTTTGCAGGAATAGCCTTAGGAGTTACAAGACTTGTGGCAAGACCTGCAGCTAGTATTCTTGAGATCACAGGAAAAACTGCACAGAGTATCAGAAACAAAAGTAAACTATACCAAATTGGGTCTCAACGCCGTAGGATCCGGTTTCCTAGGCCTTTAAGTCGAGAACTTCCTCTAAGGCCATACTCTTTGGAAGAGGCAGTCGGAACATCAGTGCTTATGGAGGCTGAGGATGGCTTGAAGCTAAAGGACGAAGTATTAGTGATGTGCAAATCACTTAAACAAGCTGGCAAATTTGTTGTTGTCACAGAGAGACTTATGTTGATCATTAAATGTCCTGGTTTGGTAGACATGGGGAAGCCGGAATTTCGAGGTGTTCCAGTTGATCCAGAGTGGTTCATTGAGTCAGAGATTGGTTTGGACAGCGTAATACATGCAGATAATGTAGAGGCATGGGTCCACATTGTTGGAAGCAGCTCAGATGCAAGGCTGAGGCAGAACCAGCACCAGTCCAAAAAAGGTGGTGGTGGTGGAACAAGGACAAAGCAATGGAGTGATCCTTCGACCCGCCTCCCTCTTTTCCAAACTAATTTGGAATTCGCGTCGACAAAAGATGCAGAGGATTTGTTACAGACTATGCTTTCGACAATAGAGCAAGGCAAGGGACGAGGGTGGGGGAGTGGATATCTTGTTCATAAAAGCAATGTTGTAGGTAAATAGGAGCATTCTTATGGATGTTTTTTTTTTTTTTTTTAAAGCAATGTATGTAGGTAAATCAGGAGCACTTTGGATTTTTTTTTTTTTTTTTTTGGGTGGGAATAAAGTTAGGCGAGCGCTCACTTCAGAGTGGATCCATACTATTGTCTTCTTTTTCAAAATCCTGATTATTTATGGGAACAGAAAGAAAAAATGTACAGAGAGCTTCTTCATTACCTGATTATTTTTTGCAGGATGTAAATTCTAATGCAAGTTCTTAGACCCCTATTGTGATTTCTTAGTACATATGGATTAATTAGTCAGAGGGAGCAGTCCAGATGCAGGGTCCATGAACCTCCGACTTGATGATTTATATATATTCCTGTCAAAAATTAAAATAATAAGAATTAAAATGCTAGCAAGAAAAAACGCATTCATCCATGTCTGTTTCTTTGTATTTAATTTGTAATAGCTACACTAATACTTTCATTTTCCTTCTTCTTTTTTTTTTTTTTTTTTTTTTTTTTTTTTTTTTTTTTTTTTTGTTTTTTTTTTTTTTTTTTTTTTTTTTTTTTTTTTTTTTTTTTTTAGAGTAACTATTACCTTCAGATTGTTAATTGAAGGCTATATTTTAAAAAGAATTCTGTTATTATATGATTTGAAATATTTGTGTGAAACACAAATTATTAATTGTATGGGAAATAAATTTGTATTCATAAACAATAATCTCACCTACACTTTCCATATTTAAATTATGTTTTTGTTAAATTCTTATAAATGTTATGAGATTAACAACTGTGCAAAGGGAAGTTTAAAGCTGTATATTATGAGATCCATAGCTACAACGTTTGGTAAAAAATATCAATTTAGTAGTTAGCTATTTTAGCTTGTTTTATTAACTATTAATTATTATAGTAGCTATTAGTTATTTTTATAATATTTAAATTATAAATGTTCGATAAAAATAGTTATTTAAAGATATTAGTTGTTTAATTAACTGAATTTGGAAGAAAAAACAATAAATACATGATTGTTAAAAAAAATAATGAAAAGTTAAATGTTAAACGTTAACACTTTGTTTGGATAGAGGTTTTTTTTTTTTTTTTTTTTTTTTTTTTTTGAGTCAATAGCTAGAAAAAATACTGTGAAAAACAATTTTATTCTTGTTCAGAAAAAAAACGGAATATCAAAAAAGGAATGAAAAACTTAATTTATTTTTCTTTTTTTTTTTTTTTTTTTTTGAGTCAATAGCTGAAAAAAATAGCTGTGAAAAACAATTTTATCTTGTTCAGAAAAAAAGGAAATATCAAAAAGGAATGAAAAATTAATTTATTTTTCTCCCTATCTCACATAGATAGAATCTCTCCATTTGAGAGAAAAAATAATAATTAAATGTTAAAGTTTCTCGAATTTTTACGCAGTTACACAAATACCCGAACTACTTTTAGTTAAATAGAAAATATTGAAATTATATGATCATCAAAGTCCTCTAAAAATATAAGTGAAGTTAAAATGGTAAAATATCAATATTAACAATTTTTCCTCCAAAATCTTGCGTTTTCCAAACAAAGTGAAATAAATTTATTTTCTTTGGTTCATTATTCAAGTATAAGGGTGAAAAATAACAATATAAAGAAAATTAACAATTTATCATTATGTTCCTTTATTATTTTTATTTCTCTTCTTTTCAAATAGAGTGTAAAAGCTAAATGTTAAAATATTTAATATTTCTCGACCTCTGTAAACCGTATAACTGAAGGTACAATCGATAAAAATAGAGTTTTGACTTAAAAGCGAGCCTATAATACAAAAATACAAATACATAACTTAACAATAAAATAGGAATTTGTTACTGAGGCTAACAATTAAGTTTTGAGATCAATTATGTTAAAAACAATAATAATTGTTTCCGAGATGAGAAAAAAATTATTAAGGGTAGGTACAGAATGATGAAAAATAATAATTTAAAAAAAAAAACAAAAAGAATAAAAAGTATTAAGGGTAGGTACAGAATGTCTCATTCTTGATACAAAGAAACAACCTTTCATAAGCCAATGCCATTTTTCTTGCGGTAAACATAGAAAGTGCATATTCTCTGCAAGCTTTTCCTCTCTGTGCCAATCTCGTAGAACCTTCCCTCGCTGCCATTTCCAGTGTCTCAAGCAAGGACTCCACATTTGGAGAAAACATATAACCAAACTCATCATCAACAACAATAGTTCCTTTTATACTAGGAAATCTTGATGCCATTACTGCCTTTCCACTCATCATTGCCTCCATTAGAGTAAGATCAAGCCCTTGTGGTCTAAGTGTTGGATTGACAAATATATCAATTGAATTATAAAATGCCCTTAATTCTGATGGACTCAGAGACCCTAAAACTATTACTTGTGCCCCTAAATCTTTATATCTTTGTTGCCATGGTCCTGAACCTGCAACTATCAAATATACATTTGGGTATTTTTCTTTAAGCATAGAAAAAGCTTCATGTAATAAAGGATGGCCTTTATCCTTTACAAGTCTTCCTGCAACTCCAAGAACTAAAGTTGCATTAGAAGGAACTCTAATTTTAGTCCTAAATTCATGCCCTAATCTGAAATCTTGTCTAAAATCATCCTCATCTACACCATTCACTATCACATGTACTCTTTTACTTGGAATTTGGTAAACATCTCTTAGCATTTCTCCACAACTATCACTTATAGCAACATGATTTGCATAATTCTTGAAGAATCTTATCTCATTAACCACTTTAAGCACACCTCCTTGCATAGTTGCATTAGCAGCCGGAGAAATAGGTTCGTCTACTTTTCTCGTTAAATCTTGATAAATATCAGATTGCAAGCTTTCAAAGGCGATTCCATGCCAAGAAACTGCAAGATTTGGAACTCCGCGAGCAACCCAATGAGGAAGAGCCACGCTTTCAGAATGAACAACATCAAAAGGTCTGCGTTTGTTTTCTTCATTAAATAATTCCCATGCTTTGTTATATCTCCACTTACCAGGCTCGCCTTCATGGCAGTGAATTTGCACACCGTTACGAGATAAAGATAAAGGGTTGCCTTTCTCTATAGGGGAGGTGAAAACATGAACTTGATGGCCTCTGCGAGAAAGAGCTGTATGTAGAGTATACGCATGGCGTTCCATGCCACCAGGGGTTGTGCCGATAGGCCATTTGCGAGAGAAAACTGCGATTTTGAGCTTGAGCAACGGAGGTTTATCATCAATAAAGGGAATTCGATTCCATGCAAACTGGGCAGTGCGTAGATCGCCGGACCAAGGGGTGGGATGTTGGCCAGAAAGGGAAGTGCAAATGGTGCATGGTTGTGTATGGAGAAGGAAAAGGAAAGGGATAATGAACAGAAGAATGAAGAAGAAAAAGTAATGAGAAGAAGAGAAATAATGGGGTTTTTTGGGTTTGTTATTGATAGCCATTCTTTGTGTGATTCAGTTGATTAATGGGTTGGTTTTGGAGTATTATTAGCAATATTTGAATTGTTTTTGGATTTCTGAAAAGTGGAGGAAAGTGGGAAAGGTTAGCTAGACACGCACTTATCAAGGTGGCGTTTTCTTTGTGTGCGTTTCTCACGCCTACGCCACCAAAAGAAAAAGAAAAAGAAAAAGAGGATTCTTCTTGTCCCACTATCGTTTGTTTATATATATCTATGGAGCAATTAATAAAATATTTATAGTTAGTTTTTATCTGCTAATCACTAGTGATTACTAACTGTCAATAGTTAATCACAGTCAGTATTATTTTTTGGGTGGGAGGATTAAAAAATTTATTACCATAATCATTTCACGAAATGAGAAGTCAAAATACACGGCTGCATTAGGCACAATAGCAACGAAGTCAATGACAGTAAAAAGTCAACTGCTGAATGGTTTGGTTTGGGTGTTTGAAGTAAACGCATTCCCAACTCAATTTTGACCAGTTAAAAATAAGGCATCTCATTCCCATGCTGATTTTTGGGTGATTTGCGATATAAGAAACCTCAATTTTGGACTTTAATGGCAATTTAAGGCACTTTGCAAGTGATATTTGCTTCTTTTTCTAAGTTATTTCAATCACTTTGCTTTCTTTGCCAGCGTCAATCTTCAATTATTTGTATCACATGCATCAAAGGGGATTATATATTTCAAGTAATATACCTCTACCAAGGAAAGTAGCAGCTTTGACAAACCTTGCAAGAAGTATACTCATCCTTTTAGACATACATACATTAATTAATATGCATCAAAGTATCATTTTTATTTCTCAACATGAGCCCACAAGTCTTCAAAGAGAACAAGGAGATGTCCTGGTTGGCCTCTTCTATCCCAAGAAAAAGAACACCTTAGGGTTTACTAGACTAGGTATTTTCAGACTTCGTTTCTAATCAAGGTGTGTTTCTTGATTTCCATTTTTTTATTTTTTATTTCCTTGCATTTATTAGGAATTAGAAATAAAAGAACCTTATGATTTTTTTATTGTTGATGCTCCATGTTGATTTTTTGATTTTTTAAGGGTAATATGAATCTCTTATTATCAACAAACGAATCGAAATCTTATACATGTACTTACTTAAAAAAAATAAGTCTCAAATTATTAATTTTGTTAATATTGTGTTTTTACAAGCTTTATAATAATAATAATAATAATAATAAGAATAATAATAATTTTATATTTTTGTGTATTTATATACAATATATTTATTTAATATGCGATTAGTATAATTTTTCAACTATATAATAAGAGTTTAGTTGATTTAATTTTAAAAGAATGCAATAAGAATAACCTAAATTAGTATAATAAGAATGCAAGAAAGATAATGCTAAAAAAGTCTAACAGACCGCCAAAGATAAGCAAAAATAACCTGAATTACACAGCAACTAAATAGACACAAGATGTGATTGAGAGAAACAAAAGAGAAAAACCTGAATTTTTAAACATAAACTTTAAAAAGTGAGTAGGTTAGAGAAGATTGAAGGCAACAATGTATTGTGAAGAGAGAAGTTAGAGAAGAAGAACAGTCGAAAGATTCAATAGAATGGGAAAGTGGAGTGGTAGGTAAAATGCGTCAAGATAAGGTTTCAACTTAGATTTCCTCTTTATCTTTATTGATTTCTTAGCTTTATTTTAATATGGGGTAAAAACTCAACATTTTGACACAAAAAAAAATTTTGAGATAAAAAATAATACGTTCTGATTAATTTAGAATAACCGATATTCTCTTTTTTAGACTAACCTCACCATAATTGAAAAATCAAATTAATACTTATAACTAACCAATTCAAACCATAACTAATCTATTAGCAGCCAAACCAACCAATATTTAAGAGCACCAGAAAGTTTTTTATGTGATTTAATTTAGAATAACCCGATATTCTCTTTTTTAGGAACTAACCTCACCATAATTTGAAAATCAAATTAATACTATAACTAACAATCAAACCATAACTAATCTATTTAGCACAAACCAACCAATATTTAAGAGCACCAAGAAAATTTTTATGTCAAGTAGAAAGTTTGGAATTTTTAGGTATATCCGCGATTTGCCACTACTATTTAAGAGCACCAGAAAGTTTTTTTATGTCAAGGTAGAAAGATGCAATATTTATAAACTTCAACAAAGTGAGTGTAATAGTTTACAAGTAGTGTTATACACATACCAGAAAGTTTTTTATGTCAAGTAGAAAGATGCATTTATAAATTCAACAAATATTAATAGTAATCTCTTACTACATATGTATACACATACATACATATCATAATATATAAAAACAATTATACTATTGATAGTCATTTAACATTTTAACAGAACCATCACTAGAATTTTACCAAACACCAATATTCATCGGTTAATTGTTATAAGTCATCAGCCACCAGTTATTAGTAACCACTATCAACTGTCAACTGGGTAATGTTTCATAATTCAGTATCTTAAGTAGGAGTAAACGTGCAATTTGGCCAATTCGATCAATTTGGCATATTCAATTTACTGCATAGATATTCGATTAAAAGTTTAATAAAAGAAAATTAGATTTCTGCTGATTGGTTAAAAGTTTGATTAAACATTAAGCAAACCGAATCAATCAAATTAACTGACTCTCAAAACTACATCGTTTCAATTAAATAGATAATAAAATTATAAATATTTTAATTTTTATTTTGATTAAGTAGTGATTAGAAATTTGAGTTAGTTTTTTATTTCGGTTAAATCAGTTAATTATAAATTTCGGTTAAATTCGATTGGCTAATTAGGTTTTCATTATCTTTAGCTTTGACGCGATTAATTGTAAAAATTAATTCGGCCAAAACGATTCGGATAAGTTTAGTTAAAAAATTAATTCGGTTATTCTAGTTAAGTTCGGTTAAGTCAAAAAAAAATTTTGGTAATTTATTTCAATTTAAAATATTACTCGAATTGACCGAATGCTCACCCTACTCTCAACTTCTGAAAAAACTAGTATAAACGTTATGACACTAACCACTATAAATAAATAAAAAAGCTAGTATTTTCACTTTAATCAAAACTTTAAAATGCAATGTTAAAAATTATTGTTGAGCATGCATTAGAATTTGAGAAAGAGGATTATGAGACATTTTTCACTTTGACCCTATTCAAAAGCAAATTTTAATGTAGCGTTTAGTAGAAAGACTATTTCTATTATTTACAATGTTCAATGATGTAATTTATACTATTTTATAGAGTTTAAGTAGTGGATTATGAAATACTATCTTTAAGGGTTGTGCGGTTCCGATTCTAGTTTGGTTCTCGATGAAAATTAGAACTAGAACAATAGTTCAGTTCTTTTTAAATTCGGAATCAGAACAAAATGACTTGAGAACTAGAACTAGAATCTGCTTCGGTCCTTTGGTTCTAGTTTCAATTCCCCTTTAAAAATTAATACACTATTCTCCACATTTCTTTAAATTAAAAGAATTCTAATATTAAACTAAAATCACAATATATAATAATTGGAAAAAATCATTTATAAGATAATTATAATAATAGTATAAAATTATATCATATGAATAATAATTGATAAATACTAATATTTTCTTTTGTATAATAAAATATTTGAAAACTCGTATTAAACACTACACTAAAGTAACGTAGTTTTAATATTGGTTTACTTAACCTCAACTTAAATTGTCCAATAGCCTATCTTACATTGTCCAAAACTTTCGATTTCGGTGATAGAGGACCCAAAAGCACGCAAAAGTGAGAGTACCCAAAAGAAAGAATGCCCGAAAGAGAAAGCCCAGTGACCAGAATAGGAGATTCCTCCGCCGTCAACATCTCCAACCCCGCCATCTTCTCCACCGCTGCCTTCACCATCTCTGTGTATTTTTATTTCTTTCTCTTGAGATGTTAGCTTATCTATGAGTTAATATCAGGTTATAATTTTTTTCCTTTCTACGATTATAATGTTGGGATTCTAACTGATCCCGAGTGGGGCCCGCAGAAAAATACCGGTGGTAAAAATAAAATAAAATTACTATTACCACATATACCTCCAATAACTAAATATTGGATATTGACGATCGAATCCACCAGAAATAATAACCACGATAAAAATATACCTCCGAAATAACTAAATATTTTGGGATTATTGACGATCGAATTCCAACCAGAAATAATAACCACGATTAAATAAAATTAAATAATCTCAATTTCGTATAATGCCAGATTGGAAAAAATAAAGAACACCGAGATTTACGTGGTTCACCCTCAACTGTTTAGCGCGCTACGTACCACGGGACAAAAAAAAAAACTCCCGAATAATTTTTCTTTACTAAAAAATGTAGGTTACAAAAGAGATTTTACAAAAATAGTGGCACACAAAGTAGTTTCCCAAAAAAAAACACCCCAAAAAAAATTACAATCCTTCAGTATTTTCTCTTCTTTCCAATTTTAGTTACCCTCTTCCTAAAAATTGATATTCTCTCCAAGCATATTTATTCAATCTGTAGCTCTCTCCTACTTCTTGGCTTATTTTTAAAACTGAAGCCAAAACACCTCAATTTATAGAAAAATTGAACGCATTCTTTGCCTTATAAATCTCCTGTTGCAATTTGCACATTATTTCAATAATGGTTGTTCAAAACAACCTATAGACTTTTTCTTTGTTTGTTAGGCAGTCTCTCCTTTTGACTGCCAAAACAAAAAAAAAAAATAAAGTTTGTTATTATTTTTTTTTTCTTTTTTCAAAAACTTGTGCATTGGGTCCCCACATGTAGGGAGGGACCCTTAACAACATTCTCCCCCTCCCGGACTACTATGGTGGGAACAATTCTCCCCCTCCCGACTACATGGTGGGACTCTCCATCCCTGCTGCTTTGACACATAGCTCAAACTTCTCCTTCGGAACGACCTTTGTTAATATACCTGCAGCATTTCTGTCTGTGTGGATCTTTCGCAACTGAAACTGTTTCTCTTCAACGACAAGTCTGAGCCAATGATATTTTACATCAATGTGCTTCGTCCGTGCATGATACATAGTATTTTTGCTCCAGTCTAATGCACTTTGACTATCACAATAAACTATATATTCTTCCTGTTGC